AAATTGAAAGTCCCCCCTCCTCCTCTGACTCCCTTTGATGTCAGTAGTTGGTGTTTTGTTACTGCTGTTTAGGATTTCCCCATTCCTGAACTGCCCTTCCTGTTGGCCACAGAGTGTGAGGAAAGTGGCTCTATATTTGTGGAAGTTGTAGTCACAATAAGCTTTTTTTTTTTAATCATTTTGATGGGTTGTATACTTGGTAAGTTAGGTGGTTGATGTCTTGTGGGCTTTCTTTGGCAGAGGGAGGGTTAGGGTCACATTCTTTGCATGTGACATTTGGGTGCAGTGGTATAAGTTGAATTAGATTGTTGACTTTTAGGAATGTTGAGGCAAATACTATTTAAAATGTTTTCTCTTTCTTCCCCTGATGTAACTATTGCCAGTACAGTGTTTATCATGCTAAAGAAAAAAGAAAAAAAGGGTCAGTGAGATGAGAAAATTAATGTGAATTTTCCTATTTCCTTATGTGCATTAAGATTAGCCACATACTAGAGCCCTCTTGCAGCCTTTGTCCTATAAATTTTTAAATGACCACAAATATTATTGATATTAATCCTGCCTTTTTATTGTTTGTATTAACAGATAGTAATTATGCACAGGATTTCTTTGCATTTCCTTTGTCTTAGACTATAGTCTATTAGGGATGTATGAGTATATTGTTGGCTTTAATTTTTTTATTAAGATTTACTGATTTTTATTTTGGTTTATGTGTGTGTGCCTGCTTGTATAAATGTGCACCTATGTGTGCCAGTACCCACATAAGTGTCAGATGCCCTGGAACTGGAGTTAAAAGTTGTGAGCTGTTTGGTGTGAGTACTGGTAACCAAACCCAGGTCCTTTACAAGAGTAGCAAATGCTGAGCCATCTCTCCAGCCCTTGCTGGTTTGTCTTTTTTTTTTTTTTTTTTTTTTTTTTTTTTTTTTTTTTTTAAGCCATATGTGTTTATTAGCGTGTGTATCTGTGAACATGGTTGTGGCACACAGTGTGTGTGGAGGTCAGGGGACAGCTTTGTGGAGTCTGTTCTCTCTCTCTCATGTTTACATGAGTACATCCGGCTTATATAACAAGTACTTTACCTGCTGAGCCTTCTCACCAGCTCCATAGTGCTGTCTTAAAGTGTCTTTGTTTCTTTTTTGTGGGTAGTCATGACATATGCTTGGGTTTATTAATTTGTGTTCTCATTTAGGAGTTGCTTATTTCCCATTTTGATATAACTTTGTTGTATAATTACAAAAACTATTTCCGTGGTTCTGAAACAAAATGCAGTTTGTAATTACCTTACTTTTTCTCCCATAGAATTAGCCTAAATGTAGGAGGCCCTTAATAACAATTTTATGTATGTTTATTTGGAAAGGATCATTGCCATTATCTGACACCCCCACCCCCAGCCAAAAAATGTATCAGAGCCATTATTAAAGAACAGTGGCTCTCAAACTTAATAAAACAAAAAAGCATGTGTGGTTCACACAAACAAGCAAGCAATGCATGTTCTGAGGTCAGTTGTCTTCATTTAGCTGTACTGAAACAAGTTCTCATGTTTCTGCTGCTGTGCTGTGAACTCCAGGCTAGGTAGTTTGTGAGCTTCTAGGCAGTTCTCCTGTCTCCACCGCTTACCTTGCTACACAGGTGCTGGGATTGCAGATGCAGGTGACTGCATGCAGCTTTTTACACGAGTTCAGAGGTCACACTTCGATTGTCAGACTTGTGTGAGTCATGCTGTTACCTGCTGACGTAGCTCCTTAGCCCCACCTGGCTCTCAAATTGTTGAGGTTTTAACAGAGTGTTTACACAGTTAAACATGTGGAAGAGCTTTGCTATGTTAAAAAATAAAATGGAACCAATTTTTTTTTTTTTTCCTTTCGAGACAGGGTTTTTCTGTGACTTTGGAGGCTGTCTAGCTCTTGTATACCAGGCTGGTCTCGAACTCACAGAGATCCACCTGCCTCTGCCTCCCAAGTGCTGGGATTAAAGGCATGTGCCACCTCTGGTTTATATTTACAGTTGTCTTTAATGTCTAGTTTAATAGAACAACAGCTGGATTTTTTTTTTAATCTGTGGTAACATCCAATATATTGTATCATGTGCCCTCTGCAAACACCACTGTAAGTTGGATGTGGTGTTTTATGCCTATAAGCCAAGCATTTGGAGACTGTCACAGGAGAGCGCTGAGTTTAAGGTCAGCCTGTCTTAAAAGAAAAAAGACGGGAAAGAACCCTCTAAAGACTGGCTCAGCAGTGAGTAAAAGAGGATTGCTAGAAGGTAGTTCTGACCTCACTACCTCATTCATGCTTGTCCTTGTCTCTTGCTGATCACAGTGTACTGTAAGTTCCATGCTTGCTCTTTCCCAGTCACCATGTTCCTTCCTGGAGGGTGATTGATGTGGCAATTCCCCATTCATGGGAGCCTGGCTTTGTTACTGCTCTTGTTTTGGGATCATGTACCCATGGAGCATTGTCCGAGGAGGGTTGTTGATGCAGGATCCATATCTGGTACTGAGCCACCTGTATAACTTACACCATCCTGTCCCCTTGGTTTATCTACAGTAATGAATGTCAGTCAGTACTCAGTGTGGTGGTGATGTGTATACATTGGGCAGCATTCATCTCTTGCCTGGATAAATGGTACTTTTTTTTTTTTTTTTTTTTTTTTTTTTTTTTTTTTTTCGGTTTTTCGAGACAGGGTTTCTCGGTGTAGCTTTGGAGCCTATCCTGGCACTCGCTCTGGAGACCAGGCTGACCTCGAACTCACAGAGATCCACCTGCCTCTGCCTCCCGAGTGCTGGGATTAAAGGCGTGCACCACCAATCCTTAGCTGATAACTGGTACTTTTTTTTTTAATATTTATTTAACTTTACTTTATGTAAATTGGTGTAAGGATACAAGATCCCCTGGTACTGGAGTTACAGACAGGTGTGAGCTGCCATGTGGGTGCTGGGAATAGAACCTGGGTCCTCTGGAAGAGCAGCCACTGCTTTTAACCACTAAGCCATCTCTCCAGCCCTGATAACTGGTACTTTTAAAGCTAGTGGCTCTGGTACTTGTAGATAGCATAGTTCAGCTATAAGCACCCATGCCTTACCACCTTTACGTGTTGGTTGCACTTTCTGCTGTGGGAATGACTAACCTGGATCACAGGTGCTGGGGAATCTTGGTTCATTTTCACAGAGGGGCCTTGCTAAGCTACTAACTCTCTCAAAGGCAGGCAAGGGCATGCATATTACTACTAACTCCAAGCAGGAAAGGGCAGTGAGTACAACTTCATTAAACTCTGCCACAGAGACTGAGCTGTGAGATACCTCTTCTTGTGGGCAGGAGAGAGTGACTTTTTTTCCATATTGGTCAAGAGACTCATCTGGTTGCTTGGTAACCAGAGGGAGTAGTGGAATAACCAGTTAGGTTTTCCTGAGTGTTTGGTGTCCCTTGGCTTGGATAAGCAGGATTTTGTCACTCGAGAGTCTGTAATGATCCCAAGCAGCTAGAACTGGTGCACCACCATGCTCAGTTTGTGTGTCTTCTAATCCAAAGGGTATTCCAGACCCTCTAAGTTCCTTAATGAAACAAGGGTCAGAATTGCAGCTGTTTTCCATTGGGTGAGAAATTTCCTGTAAGAGAGGAAGTCAGAAGCAAATGTTATACCTTTGCCCGCTTTGAACATTGACAGTTGCTCTTGGGATTAATTGGAACTTGACCGTGAGAGATGGCTGGAAAGACTAAGTAGTAACAATAGTGAAATTTTCAGTATGTGGTACTGCAGAGAAGCTTTTAGGAGAAATGAGCAAGGGAGCACAAAAGATCTGTGGTTTTCCTCCATGCTGCTTGCTAGCTACAGCAGTGGGAGGGCAAGAGATGTGTGCCTAGAGCCCTTTGGTGCCAGGGTAGGGAATGCTGTCTACAGTTGCTGACTCTCAGTCCTGGGCAGGATCCTAGAGCTTCTGCTTTCTCTGGTAGCATCTGCCAGGCCTGAGGGGGCCTTCCTTGGGTCCTCATTGTGTTTGTGCACACACGTGTGCATCTGCTCTCCTGTTTCCAGTTTCCATCCTTGTATGTGAGACAAGGAAAGGGCATCTACTGTACATTCCTCTGCCGTTGCAGTCTTAAGTCCTCACACATGGCTTTAAAAAAATATATAATTACCTTTAAAATTAAGTTTCCTTTAATGTATATAGGTATTTTGCCTGCATGTCCCCTGCACATGCCGTGCCTGCAGAGGACGGACAGAAGAATACGTTAGGTCCCCGGAAACTGGAGTTACAGACAACTGTGAGCCACCAAGTGAATGCTAGAAATCAAGCCCGAGTCCTCGGGAAGAGCAGCTGGTGTGCCCTTAACCACTGAGCCATCTCTCCTGCTCCCTGAAACTATTGTTAGAAGTAATTTCATCTTAAAAGTAATTTTGAGATCGACATAGAAGGAGTGGGCTTCATTGATGAATTTTCATGTAGGTCATTATATTTTGATCTCATTTTTCCTTTCCTCTCAGATGTTTTTGTAATGTTTTATAACCCTTAGGACTGAATTTAGTCTTTTAAAAAAGTTACACTATTGGGACACTGATTCTGATTATTTGGTTGGTTGTTATAGGGCAGTGTGAGTGTAAATAAATTAAACTGTGTCTTTTATTTTCGGCTTTATTTACAGAACTTTCTTCCTTTTCTTCCTTCCTTCCTTCCTTCCTTCCTTCCTTCCTTCCTTCCTTCCTTTTTTTTTTTTTTTTCCAAGATAGGGTTTCTCTGTATTGTTTTGGAGGTTGTCCTGGAACTCACTCTGTAGACCAGGCTGTCCTCAAACTCACAGAGATCCACCTGCCTCTGCCTCCCGTGTGCTGGGATTAAAGGTGGGTGCCATCAATGCCTGGCTTATTTACAGAACTTTCTAAGGAATGTGCTTAGATTCTGACAAACCCTTAAACACAGTTTCCTTCCAGTTTCCAGGTTCTCCATCCTGGTGATTGATGTGATGGATTTTACCTTTAGCACAGGTTCTCATTTGGTTGGTCTTTTTGTATAAAAGTCATAACCAAAGGTAATTCCATTTTTTCTCCTTTGTTATCAGACATATGTAGAGTGTGTCGGTCAGAAGGAACACCCGAGAAACCTCTTTATCATCCTTGTGTGTGTACTGGCAGTATTAAGTTTATCCATCAAGAATGGTAAGTGATTTGGAAAATTGTATGATTCTTAAATTCAGTTTTATCATCTCTATAATAAAAATGACCATCTCAGTGAGCTTAACCCATAATTCATTATTTTTAAAACTTTTGTTATAAAGATTTATTACTAAATATATAGTTTGACTAAGCAGTTACCCATAGTTAATATCAAATATGTAGTTTTGGTATATTGTGGATATGTTAATGATAGCCCCTTGTTTATTTCTAGTATTGAGAACTTGTTTGTGGGAAAAATTACGGTTTTCCCACATAATTATAGCTTATATTTATTATTCTGTGCCAAGGACTGTCTTCTGAACTTTATACATCTTAACTCATTTTACTCTTTGCAAGAAAAGTCTGAAACATTATTACATGGATGAAGAAATGGATCGTGGACAGGTTGAATGACTTGTTCTAAGCACATAATTTGCCAGGGGCAGAGCAGGAATTCTGGGCTGGTTACTAGCTGTGAGCTTTGTGAAGCCAGTATCAAAACTGATGTTGGATTATTTACTGGATTATTATTACTTAATATTCATTTAGCTCTGAAGAGATAAGACTTTTGGTTAATTCAATTTTTGATACAGTATATACTGGTTCATATTTATCGGTTAAGTTTTATACACGTATAAAAAGTTAAAATATTCCACATTTGAAATATTGAAAATTGTAAAAGTTCTATGACACAAAACTTTTAATAAAAGCATGAGTTTTCAATGAAACCTTAATATGGCTGTATTTTAAATATTGTGTTCATGAATGTCTTTGTAATTACAGCTTAGTTCAGTGGTTGAAACACAGTCGAAAAGAATACTGTGAGTTATGCAAGCACAGATTCGCTTTCACACCAAGTAAGTTCATTTGACAGTTTTTCACTACAGTTTTATTTCTGGCAACGAAAGGTGCTTAAAGAGTTTGAAAGCAATAATTTTCAACTTCATTGTCTTTAATAGTAATTAGAAAAAAAAACTGTTCCATGTAGAAGGATATTTTAAAAATGATCATCTTTTAATTCAATGCACCCTTGCATGTTTTATTGGCTCTTTTTTCTTTGTGTTTTTGCTGAGTTGAGACAAGCTTAAACATACACAGAGGTATAGTGCTTGTGAAAACCCATCACTTACTGGTACTTGTGTTTCCACTCAACGTGGCCTGTCTCTTTTTATCTGTGCTCTCATTTCTCACTACATTCTTTAATTTTTTTCTTTTAGGCTATCATTTTAAAAAGAAATTCTGTCAGTTTTAATGTGTCACCATTCATTCCTTCCTTTTAAGAAACAAGAGCTCTGTAAAAACAGTGATGCTTTGATTTCGTCAGAATCTGTTGCTGTTCAGCTTGAACTCCCTTCTGAGTTAAAGCTGTGAGAGTGGAACAATAGCAGTAAAGAGCAAGTTCTAGAGCAATTTTTTCTTTTCTGAAACCAACAGTCTGTGTGTGTTTAAGTGTGTGTGTGTGGGTGGGTGGTATATGTGCATGGGTATATGTGTATGTGCTCAAGATTGTGCCTGAGTGTGCCAGAGATGGATATAGCCCCCCCTTTTTTTTTTCAGACAGAGATCCTCTGTGTAACAACAGCCCTGCTGCCCTTGAATTCACTATGTAGAACATGCCAGGCTCAAACTCAACAGAGAGAGGCCTGCTTCTGCCTCCTGAATGCCAAGAGTAAAGGCGTACGCCATCACCCCTTCTCCCATATATATTGTTGAATCTCATTTGAATCCTGAACTCCTCACCTCAACAAGTCTAGCCAGCCAGATTGCCCTGGCATCTCCCGTCCCCACCCTTCAAGTACTGGAATTGTAGGCAGGCCATGGCTCCCGTGCCTACCCAGCATAGTGTGGATGTTGGAGATCCTAACACTAGTCTTCATGCTTGCATGCTGTCTCCCCAGCCCTGGGAAACACTCCCCCCCCCCCCAAACAGGGTTTCTCTGTATTGCTTTGGAGGTTGTCCTGGATCTCAATCTGTAGACCAGGCTGGCCTCGAACTCACAGAGATCGGCCTCCCTCTGCCTCTGGAGTGCTGGGATTAAAGGAGTGCGCCACCAATGCCCGGCAGAAACAAACTTTTAAGCTTATGTGATGTAAGGCTTTAGTAACTATTTTTCAGATGTCTATAATTTTAATTGTAATACTTGTGCCTATTGATTAACTGTTAAATCAAATAAATATGGCTATACTGGTGAATTATTAATAATCTGAAGCACAGGTTTTCATGCTGGGATCCTTGTACATTGCACCTGTTTTTTTAAAGACTCTTTTGCTTCTCGGTATAGCTACTGTAATTGATTAGTTTTACCTGATATCTGACAAGCATGGATAATTAAAGTTACTGTGTTTTGTTTATTCATTGCCAGCAAAAATGCCACTTGTATTCCTTCATAGTCCTTATTTTCTCTCGTGTATATGCTCATTACTACTTGTAAAGATTTATAGCAAACTAGGACTAAATTCTTGATGTCTTCATGAAGTTTGACTGGTAGAAAATATCCTGTGGACTTTTACTTTGAGGCCAATAAGAACTCACTTTGTGTGCCTACTTTTCTCCTGACATTTGTGCGGTGTTTCCTGTAGGCCTTTCTCAGGAAGCTCTACTGTCCTTTCCACCAAGTATCCTGTTGGCTGGGTGATCTGCGGTGTGTGCAGTCTTGCCTTTTGCTATGGCTCATTCCTTGAGTTTGTGAATGAAAGATTTTGTGATACTGCTCTTGAATGTTTTGTTCTTGTTATTTTTAGTAGTTTAGGATTAATCCTAGCATGTTGTCTGTGCTAAGCAAGCACTCTGCATCTGGGATACACCCCGCATTGTCTTTTAGTCTATTGTTTTAGTTATTTTTTTCTCTTCCCCCAGCTCTGTTTCATAAATTTTCAATCATTGATTCTGTATAAAAATTGTCTTGCTGTCCTTGCTTGAAAGACAATGTGTACTCTGGAGTAGAAAGCTTTTTGTTTGATTTTGTTTTTCGAGACAGGATTTCTCTGTGTAACAGTCCTGGTTGTCCTAGAACTCTCCATGTAGACCAGGCTGACCTCAAACTCAGAGATCTGCCGCCTGCCTCCCGAGTGCTGGGATTAAAGATGTGTGCCACCAGTATCTGGCTGGAGTAGAGCTTTTTAATAAATAGCAATTTTTACTGAAACAGTTCTTATGAAGATATTTTCTAAAATGTGGTCTATTCTTTTTTTGTTTTTTTTTTTTTTGTTTCTGTTTTTGTTTTTTCGAGACAGGGTTTCTCTGTGTAGCTTTGGAGCCTATCCTGGCACTCACTCTGGAGACCAGGCTGGCCTCGAACTCACAGAGATCCACCTGCCTCTGCCTCCTGAGGACTGGGATTAAAGGCGTGTGCCACCACCGCCTGGCGTGGTCTATACTTGAACCACATCTGAATTACATTTTGCAAAGATGTCTGAATTTATCATTTGAAAATTAAAGTAAGATGTTAGAATTGGGGGAGGGTTGGCTAAGTGACATCAGTGAGCTGTTGGTTCCTCATGAAGTGACTGCCACAGCCCATTGGGATGCTGTGTCTAATGCTTGCATTTGGGAAATTCTCTGATAACATGTCTTCATCCTTTATAATTTGAGAAGTCAGATCATTGTATGGATTGCAGGTTACTTATGTGTAAACTGACACTGCTTGAGATTCAAGGCTGTGAGCAGGGGAGGTTTCTCTTGATGCTTTTTCTCTGCTCAGTGTCCTTTTTTTGTTCATTTCCATATTTTAGTTGTGGTTTGTTAAATAACTTGTATAAATGCAGTATTATTGTAACAATTTGACATTCAGTGGCATATAGGAAAGATATTTAGGCACAGTATCTCTGCTTTGTGTTTATGAATTAAGTCATTGAAGAGTCCTCATGCAATCCTCTTACAGTTTATTCTCCAGACATGCCTTCACGGCTGCCAATCCAAGACATATTTGCTGGGCTGGTGACAAGTATTGGCACTGCAATACGATACTGGTTTCATTATACACTTGTGGCCTTTGCATGGTTGGGAGTTGTTCCTCTTACAGCATGTGAGTATTCATTGCTTTTCTGGATTTATTTAAAGGTTTTATAATTATTTAATGCTTTAATTGTGTTGCTTTGTACTGTGGATGATGTGTAATTATTATATGTTAGGAAAGTCTTGTTTAGAAAACATCTTCACTGAGTTGTTTCTGGAGGAGGGAAAGGTGTTTTTCTTAAAGACATGGAGCAGTACTGATAATACATGAATGGCAGAATATATAGATATGATTCTGTGGACTTTAAAACAAGCAAGGGTTTTAAATACATGTGAGTCACATCCTCACGTCTCCTTAAGACAAACTAGCTCAGCCACCTATGGAGATGAAAGCCATCAGCACTGATGGGGAGTGCCTTAGTGAGGTAGGTGGAGCCGGTGAGTTCTACAATAAAATTCAGAGGGACAAAGTAGTTCAGGTCGGAGACAAACAAGGAGGTACGGGAGCTAAGAGATGCCACTTTCAGTAACTGCCTAGCAGGCTTTTCTACAAGGTAAGGTTATTGGAGATGAGGAATTGATACTTCTGTTAGAAAGGAGACCACAAACTGAAACAGGCTCAAGTTTTCCAGGGCTAGGCAGGGTGGTGATGGTGGTCAGGGTGTGGTGGTGTTATACTCCCAGAGTGCCCAACAACTTGGGGAAAATCATATATAAAGTCAGCTTGTTGAATGTTAGAAGACCGTGGCAAGTTCCATACAACAGTTTTTTAATGTCAGTTCCTCACTCCCCAGACATACTCAGAAGAACAAAATACAGACACTTTCTTAGACTTACGTGTTCAGAATGTTTGCCACCTTAAACTTTTTAATGATCCATACTTTAATCCTATTACTCTGGAGACTGAAGCAGGAGGATCCTCAGTTGGAGGCCAGCTTGGTCGACGTGGTGCATAAATGAAAAAGAAAAAAAATCAGTTAAGGTAGAAAATGCCTTTCTAAAAATCAACAGACCAAAACTGTCAAGCAGAAGTGAACATTTAAGCAACCTAACGAGCTTGATTTATGCCCTGACTTTGCATACACATATAATACATACTCTTATAGACTCTTTTTTTTTTTTTCTAATTTTTAAAGTTTATGTATGAGTGCTCTGTCTACATGTACATCGTTATGCCATATCCCACTGTAGATGGCTGTGAGCCACCGTGTGATTGTTGGGAATTGAACTCAGGACCCCTGGAAGAGCAGCCAGTTCTCTTAACCTCTGAGCCATCTCACCAACCCCAGACTCTTCCTTTAAATTCTGTTTCCCACCCCCTTTCCTAGTACCAGAGTTTTAAAGAGCCTTAATGATGCCCAGCCCATTTGCCTATTGACTGATGTTTGCTTTGTTAGTTTTACTTACTGTAAGCATGTTTGCTTCCTTTTATATAGCCATGTAAGTAATTTCCATTATGAACACTCTTTCCTGTTCTGCTCTTTTGATTTGACCTTTAAAAGAAGCCATTGAACTCATTGAAAATGTTTGATGTAAGACTAAGGACAGTGCTTAAACTAATGTGCAAGAAGTGTTGAGAAGGAAAACCTCGGCATTTCCATAGTCCATTTCTATGTGTCTTGTTACTGCATTCTTTTTTAGAGTTCTGCCTTTCTCACTAAGAACCATTGTACCTTCTGAATAGAAGGTTAAGGGATGACAGTGAATTCTCTTATGCCTGTGTTTTCCCTCCAAAGCCATAATTTAAAGTATTCTTTGAGACTTTTTGAAACTTTTAAAAAAGTCTTTTAAAAACAATTTTCTCAGGTCTGGAGATAAGGTTCAGAGGTTAAGAGCACTGACTGCTCTTCCAGAGAACCCGAGTTCAATTCCCAGCAACCATATGGTGGCTCACAACCATCTGTAATGAGATCTGGCGCCCTCTTCTGGTGTGCATGCATGCAGATAGCTATATACATAATAAATAAATAAAATCTTAAAAAAAAATAATTTTCTCTGTGCTTTTGTGCCATGATGAGTGTGGAGGTCAGAATAACTTTGTGGAATGTTTGTCTCCTCCAGCTTTACATGGGTTCCCGGGTTAAACAGAGGTTGCTGGGGCCAGCCATTTTACTGGTCCCTGAAGGTCATAGGCCTATGTATACACTGTGCTGAAGAAGCTTCTCAATTCAAAGATGCTTGTTTCCCAAACTGAAATCTTTTATGAATAGTTAATGAATTTTGTAGTACTGGATTTAAAAACAATCTTCATGTTATGATTTGTCATTAATCTAGCCCCCAATATCTAAACTCATGTAAATCTAAGATACCGAGAGCTGAGTGTAGTGTTCTTGTTCAGTGTGAGTGAGGCCCTAGTTTTAATCTGGTCCTGCAGAGACCAACCAACATTGTTATGGAATATTTACTGTTCGCTCACTATTTTTGTACTCTCAGAAAATAGGTTTTGTTTTTTTGGGGGGTGGTCCTGTTGTCGTCCCCCTGCCCCCAGACAGCATTTCTCTGTGAGCCTTAGCTGTCCTGGTACTCACTCTGTAGACCTAGCTGGCCTTGAACTCAGAGATCACCTGCCTCTGCCTCCTGAGCGCTTGGGATTAAAGGTGTGCACCACCACTTCTGGCTAAGAGGTAGTATATTGAGGCCAGTGAGATACCTCAGTAGGTAATGCATTTCTCACACAAGCTTCTGAGTTTCATCCCTGGAACCCACAATAGTAGAGTGTAAAAACCCACTCCAGAAAGTTGTTTTCTGATTTACACACACACACACACACACACACACACACACACACACACACCATGGTATGTGGATGCTCATACTCAGACAATCATGCATACCACACAAATAAAAAACAACAAGAACTGAAACCCAATGTGAGACTCAGACCTACAAAGAATAAGAACACTTGTTTTCTTTTGCGTCTGTAATGTCCCACCTCACCTCTGCTTCCTTGAGCCAGCTGTGAGAGTATGATGAAAGTTGTGACTGTCATTATTGTCCCCCTGTTTGTAGGCCGCATCTACAAGTGCTTGTTTACTGGCTCCGTGAGCTCACTACTGACACTGCCACTAGACATGCTGTCAACGTGAGTATTGATTATGAGAGTGAAATTTGGGCAGTGTAAATGTTTTTCCTCTTGTATTTGTTCTTTTTTCTTTTTTTTTTTTTTGAGTCAGGGTTTCTCTGTGGAACAACCCTTACTGTTCTGGAACTTGCTTTGTAGACCGGTCTGGCCTCGAACTCACTGAGATCCTCCTGCCTCTTTGCCTCCCAAGTGTTGGAGCTAAAGGCATGCACCACCATACCTAGCCTGTGTATTTATTCTTATTACTTGAAAATTCATCTAAGAATAGCAATTCATTTCTTTCCCTTCTAACAACTGTAGCTTCAGTAGAAATTGGTATGTGTAAGTTCTGTAATGTTGGGAAGATATGTAAAAATAAGACACTTTGTGCAGCTAGAGTTGTATGCTATTGGATTTGTGTGCTGAGCATAAAAGATTAACAACTTGTTCACTATTACTTTTCCTTTCCCGTGACATTGGCACTTTGCTGGGCTGTGTTGGCATGTCACTTGACTGGCTTGTGAGCTGCCTCCTTCATTAGATTACTCACAGAGGAATTCTGGGGGAAGGGAGAGCATTACATATTCTCTACAAGAAACAACTTTTTGGGGACTGGAGAGATAGCTCAGAGGTTAAGAGCACTGGCTGCTCTTCCAGAGGTCCCGAGTTCAATTCCCAGCAACCACATGATGGCTCACAACCATCTATAATGAGATCTGGTGCCCTCTTCTGGCATGCAGATGTATTTGCAGGCAGAACCCTATAAATGTAATAAAAAACAAAAAAACCCAAAAACTTTTCCTGCAAATTCTTCAGATGCACCGCATGTGGCTGCAGTACTGTGTGTAGATGAGTTGGGTCATTTCTGGGCAAACCATTTCATTTGCACAAAACACAGTTCTGAGTCATCGAGGTTCATCATTTTATTGGTTCATAATTCTGGAGCTCGGATTTGGCATAAGCTTAGTTGGGCAGTTCATCTCTGAGTTTGCCTGAGTCACAGTTTCTATCCTGGAGCTGGATTGTCTAAGATGAGTCTGTCTGAGGTGCTGTCGTTATCCACATGGCCTTTTGTCTTCAGAGGGTTCTCCATAAGAGGGACTTGGGGCAGCATCCTGAAACTGGCATAGTGGGGAGCCCACAGCCCTTTTTCTAGGCTCTGGAACATGGGCATCCTCACCTCAGGTCTATGCAAACATGAAGCTAGTTCAGATGGAAGGCATTAGAGAAAAGGGCTCCATTTAAAATCTGCAAGAGGCCAGGCGTTGGTGGCACACGCCTTTAATCCCAGCACTCGGGAGGCAGAGGGAGGTGGATCTCTGTGAGTTCGAGGCCAGCCACTCCAGAGTGAGTGCCAGGATAGGCTCCAAAGCTACCCTGTCTCGAAAAACCAAAATAAATAAGTAAGTAAGTAAGTAAATAAATAAATAAATAATAAAATCTGCAAGAAGTAGTTCGTTGTTTGGCAAGGAAGAAATGGAGAGGGAATATTTCAGCCCCAACTCACTCTGATTTTGATGATATAGGAGGCCCTTTTTAGTAAGGGATGGCTTGGAAATACTGCAGATAGGAACTCCTATGGGCTGGGGCTGTTAGGCTGAAGTCTTTCAGACTAACCTTTCCCTACATTTACCATGGACAAAAATGTAGTCAACTTTCTAACGTCTATAAGTATTTTTGAGTTACTCTTGAATTATTCTGAAATCACAGGCTTTGATAGTGAAGGATAAGTTTCTTCAGAAAAGGAACAAAAGCTCCCAAGTGTTACAAATCTCACATTTCCATGTATAGATACTAAAGGAGCCACACTCTGCTTCTTTGGATTATTTTGGTATTTTTGCAGCCAGCATTAAAACTAGGTTTGCCATGTAGAGTTTCTGCACTGTGTATCGTGAGTCTCTCCGTCTGTCCACAGTATACTGAGAGTCTTTCAGCCTCTTCCTCTTTTATGTTATCACTTTACCAGCCACTGGGGAGCTTCCCACCTTTCATACTGAGTGTGGTCACTTAGGTACTTTGTGTCGAGTAAGCTTTAAAGTTCTGTTAAAAAGATTGAGCAGAGTTGCTCACCTAATTAATAAATTATATAAATGCAATGTTTGGTTTTGTTGAGTGTTTTGCTGGATCTTTTTTTTTTTTTCTTCTTCTTCTTCTTCTTGGACTCCTGTCTCTCATCTATGCTAAAAGGATAGGTTGGATAGTTAATAGCTATATGTTCTTGATGTTATTTTATATCTACTTAATATAAGTATACAGTAATATAACTATATAAATGAATGAACACATTAGCTAGCTTAGAAGATAGAATGTCCATATCATTATAACCCTTTAGAAGCAATTGAATTTTACTGAAAAATTAAGATTTTTTTCTGGTTGCTTTTGTGAGCGTTCTTTGGAGTTAATTGTGTCTAATTTTCTTTTTTTAATAGGGAAAATTTGTTGGCGGATTGCTTGCAGGGCTGTTTTGTGGTGACATGCACACTTTGTGCATTCATCAGCCTGGTGTGGTTACGAGAGCAGATAGTCCATGGAGGGGCACCAATATGGCTCGAGCATGCTGCTCCACCCTTCAATGCTGCTGGACACCACCAAAATGAGGTAAACCCTCACTTGAAGTGTATCTGACTTGGGCAGTATCTAAAGTCATTTTCACCCTCTACGATCCAAACCCTTGACTTTATGTGCTTCATAAATGTGCTCATGTCATAGAAGAGTACAGTGGGAAGGTTTGGGGGATTAGGAGGACTGTGAAAGTAAAAAAAAATGTTTCTCTGCCTCTTAATGTTCTTGCTAGATTGGGAACAGAGTTAGAGGGGAATACTGAAACACTCTACCATTCTCTGTGCTTGGGTCAGCAGCTTAACCTGGGCCTGGAAGGTAAGAAACAACTTCCTGTATATAGCTGAGTGGTGGCCACACTGTAATCCAGCACAGGAGGCAGAGGCAGGTGGAGCTCAGTGGGTACCAAGATAGCACTGGCACGCACGCACGCACGCACGTACGCCTGCCTGTGAGACAACTTCCTAGTAGGTTTCTGACATGCTGCACAACATTTAGGGGAGTGTTATACTCCTATCCTAGCCTTTTTCTTCATATGTGAAATTCCTTGTCTTTTCTGCCTTGGAGGAAGAACTTTATCAAAGGTAGGAAACTTGGCCAGTCAGATGGTGCAGTAGGTAGGCGTGCTTCCCCTCAAGCCTGATAATCTTGGTTTGGAGTTCCCAGAAGTCACAGTGCACAGAGAAAAGTTGTCCTGTTACTTCCACACATACAACATGACATGTGCAGATGGATATGTGTATGTGGGCATGTGTACATACAACACACAAAATTGTATGATTGACAATGACCTACTCACATACAAGGGTACTTGGCAATCTGTTAACAGGAAGGCATAGCAACAGGTTTTCAGTATCTTACCTGCTGGGAAATTGTAGCGCCAAGAATGTCACACATTAACTGCTAAATGAAGTAAAAAGTTCACAGCTTTATATGGGTTCTAGGAATTCAAAATCAGGTCCTCACACCTGTGTGGTAACTGCTTTGCCCACAGAAACCACCTCCCCAGCTTGATAGTGTGGATGGAAGTTTCTGTCCTGCCTGATCTCGTAGCCTTTCAATCCCAAATAAATACACAGAGGCTTATATAAATTATAAACCGTTTGGCCTATTGCTCAGGCTTATTACAAGATCTTACAAACTAAATTAACCCATAATTCTTAACTATGTGTAGCCACGTGGCTTGGTACCTTTTCTCAGTGAGGTATTCTCAATTCTCATCTTCCTTCCTCTATGTCTGGCTGGCAACTGTGTCTCTGCCTTCCTCTTCCCAGAAATCTCCTAGTCTGGTAGCCCACCTATACTCCCTGCCTGGCTACTGGCCAATCAGCGTTTTATTAAAGTAGTATAAGTGCAGTACACGAGAGCATTGCCCCACATCACTGTAGTGCTCTCTGAAATGTGTGCATTGAAGAGTGAGTGCTCTTATGTACTAGGTCCTAAATGAGATCTATTTAAAAGAGATGGCTCTGAAAGATACTTCTTTTTTAACTTCAGTAGCATTCTTTGTTGGTTTTGTTTTTCTTGCAGGGTAAAGTATGAATTGGAATTAGAATAAAGCTATCTAAGTAGGTGAATTCCTGGCCTTTTGTTTCATTTTAGGCTCCTGTAGGAGGAAATGGTGCAGAAAACGCTGCTGCTGATCAACCAGCTCACCCAGCGGGTGAGAACGCAGTGCTGGGTGAGAACCCTGATGCCCAGGATGGTCAAGCAGAAGAGGAGGAGGAGGACAATGAGGAGGAAGACGATGCAGGTGTGGAGGATGCTGCTGATGCCAACAATGGAGCCCAAGGTAGTGGCTGCTGCATGCCCTTGCTCACTCTTCAGGACTGCCAGTCATCCATAGCTTGAATGAAGAGTAGTGTTTCCATGTTTTATTATGTGTCAGAATTCTGTTTGTGACCTATTTCTATGTTGACAAGCTAGCAGTTACGAATATATATGTGCATAAATATGCCTTTTATGAAACAGGGAATGTTTGTGTATTACGCCCTTAACATAGGATCTTTTTTCCCCCCTCCTCTCCCCTCCCCTGCCCCCCTTTTCCTCTCCTTCCCTCCCCTCCCCTCTCCCCACCTCACACACATTAGATGGTTGGAAAAAAAATGGTTACATGTGACCAGGTCCATGTTTTGAGGAAGGAATTTGGTATAGAATTTTCTGTTTGTGGTTTTGTTTTTGTTTTTTCTTTCTGCTTCCATTGAGTTGCTGTACTTTTCAAATGAAAAAAGAACCCCTGAAGTGTACACTACAGGCCAGGTGCCACCTCTGGAAACTATCTTTTCATTTTCTATCAGTGGGAACTCTGGAATGTAAAGTGAGATGCAGATCGCTGTTCCATTGGGAGAGCCCCATTGCCTGTCTGCTGTGCTACTATTGAGTCCACTTTCTAGTGTCTGTTGATAGTGCCAGACATTTGAGACAAAGTGTTCAGTTGTGAACAGAATGTCGACTTGTCTTCCTGGAAGGCTCTGGTTCTGGTCTAAGGAAGAAGTAGGAAGTACCCCTGGTGTACTTGTGACTTTCTGGCTGAGAGCTGTCAGATATGAAACAGAAGTCACAATGGGAGCGATGGGCTTTCTCAGGCAAAGATCAGAGGCGCTGAGAAAACCACTCTTGCTGCTGCTGCCCTGGTGCTGTCTCTTGGTTAGTGCAGCAGCTCCCGAATAGTCTCCATCTGTTCTGTTCTTGCCCTATCTGGTGTGCATAGTGTTCTGCTTTTATTGAAGTCCTGAGTAAAAAGACAGCCCAGACTGCATACTCCTCCTCATGTGTTATTTAATTCCTGTCTGCCTTGCATACTCCCCCCCCCACACACACACCTTTTTTTTTTTTTTTTTTTTTTTTTTTTGAGACAGGATCTCATTGTGTAGTCCATGTTGCCTAGAACTTGCCATCTGCCTCAGCCTCTTGAGTGGTAGGATTACAGGTTTTGTACCACCCGGTCCAGCTCTTACATTTTAAATTTATGTATTTATTTCTAATTATGTGTGTATGTGTGTGTGGGTTTATGTTTGTGTGTGCTGTGCCCATGGAGGCCAGAAAAAGGGTGATCCCCTAGAACTGGAGTTGCAGACAGTTGTGAGCCACCTGATTTGAGTGATGCTAGGAACTAAATTGGGTTCATTAGAAGAACAGTCTAAGTTCTTGACCACTGACTGGCCTCTGAGTTTTATACTTTGATCTTCTCCTAATTTACTAATTCATTAGAAAGTTAATCCCTTGATTTCCTTCTTTTTCCTCAAATCTACCAGATTCATTTCTGACATACAATGATTAGATTGTTTTCCACATAACCTTATTTATTAACTTTCTAGTGCTTACCACAGTCTAGGATTGTCTTGTCTTATGTGTTACTACTTATTTATAAGTATGTATATGTAGGATTTACAACTTAGTAAATAAATTATGTGTGATAAAGTTTTAAGTGTGATTTTATTTCTCAAGAGATCAAAAGTGGCTTTTACTAGTTTACTATCTGTCATGTTGAATTTGCAATTGTATTTTCAGATGACATGAACTGGAATGCTTTAGAATGGGATCGAGCTGCAGAAGAGCTCACTTGGGAAAGAGTAAGAACATTCACTGTCACGAGTCCTTGTGTTTTAATCCTAAGGTGTATTTTGAAGTTTGTCAAATTTAGCTATAAAGACAAATTTCGTAGTTAAATTTGATGAAAACAGTTAACCAGGACTTAGTATCCACAAAACTCCCCCCCAAAATCAAGTGATGTACAGTTGTGGTAAAGATGATGACAGTGAGGGCTGTTTTTCTGCCTTTAATACAAACCTTGCTCCGTGGAGGCAGTTTGACCTGAAATTGTGGACTTAGGGAAAATTAAGTAGAATTTAAATAGGATTTCTACACTGTAATTAAAGAAAATAAATGTAATTCCATAATGAAGTCATGAGTGAGTCTCTCTAATGTACGGAACTCAGAATGGGCATGTTTTTCTTTTTATAGTGTTGGGCATACAAACCATGGCCTTGGGCATGCTAGGCAAGCACACTTTCACTGAGCTCCACCTGCCAGCTCTTAGACACAGTCCACTCTCTGTCTCAGTAGCTGCCTTAGCTTCCCTAGTGTTGGGAGCACAGACATAGATGCCTCTGCCTGCTTAGGGTGGAGCCATGTGACCTAGGGTAAAAGGAAACCCATGTGTCTTAATACTTAAATACACAGATTTATTTATTTATTAACATTGTGGGAATGATAGGCTCAGAAAGTAGTGATTGGAAAACATACTAATAGAAAAGAAGGTTCTACTGCATCTTAAATTAATGCTTATTATTTTTTATTCTAGATGCTTGGGCTTGATGGATCACTAGTGTTTCTGGTAAGTAGAAGTATTTTGATAGAATTGAGTTGTCTTTGTTATCCAGTAACTCCAAATTCTTTAAGTGTGCTTCTTTTATGGTAAAACCCTTTGGCTTTTGATTACTGGATATCTGAAAGTATATTTTGTATGTTGACAGTACTAGAGATATTTAAATGAATGTTATTTAAAAACAAAGCCACTAAATATTTGAAAAACAAAGTCTGAAGTTAATAGTAGTTAAAAGAACTTGATGTTTGAAGTTGGGTTTTACCTGTTTATTACCTGCACCATCGAAAACAAAGCAGCCTTGCCTATTCCACAGGCAAGCACCATAGTCTGGGAGTCTATCATAGGAGTAAAGCTTCCATCTTCATTTTTTATTTCATGGTCTTTAATTTTTAAGTTTTTTATTTACTAGTGTATGTGGAGGCCAGTTATCTCTTACCTCCTTCCACTGTGGGAGCTGGGGTCAAACTCAGGTCGTCAGGTTTCATAGCAAGCACTTTTACTTCGTGAGCCATCTCAGTAACCCCAGAGCTACAGCTTAAAAGTAGGTGGGTAGAGCTGGAGACATGCCAAGAATACACACTGTTCTTTCTGAGGACTCGAGTTTGGTTCTTAGCTCCCGTGTCTGGTGGCTCAGCTTCCTGTAACTCCAGCTCTAGGGGATCCAATACTAACAGTTTGGGGCTCCATGGTACCTGTACTCATGTGCATATACTCACAGACACAGATGTAGACATACAGTCATATACATTCTCTCTCTCTCTCTCTCTCTCTCAAAAGATAATGAAGGCCTGTCTTTAAATGAGTGGTAATTCTTTTAAGGAGTTTATTCTTTAAAGGAAAAATGGTGTTTTCAGGTCATGTAATGCAAACTTGCTTGTTATTTGGGATTTTTCAGTAGATTAATCTGGGCTTGTCTGCAGGGGCAGAACTGCCACAGATGGAGATATGGCAATAACAGGAAGCCCAGAGGAAGCGTAGGCTTGAGGGTTGCATGATCCAGTGGCCCAGCAATGTTATAAAAACCCAGATAATATCTGTCATTTGCTGTTTACTCAGATATATCCTTTACCTCATTGGTGTTTCACAAGAATGGCAGAAGTTGTTGAGGTCAGATAGGAAAGTCATTTGCAACTTGACTTGCACAGTTCCCCAGGGGTTGGAGGTGGGGGCAGTGTCAGAGGTCGAGGTGAATAAAATAAGATTCTGCTTTCAACATTTTAAAGTTAATACTTAAAGATATGAAAATGTGCTGTGCATAGTGGTGCATGCCTTTAATCCCAGCACTTGTGAGGCAGAGGCAGGCAGATCTCTATGAGTTCAAAGCCAGCCTGGTCTACAGTGTGATTTCCAAGATAGCTAGGGCTACCTCAAGAAATCCTGTCTCAAAAAAAAAAAAAAAAAATCAGTTCTAGTTATTTTCAGGACTTAGCTATGAGTAAGTGACATTGTTCAATTAAGCATGAGATATTATTGACTCTTACTAATGCTTTCTCCTGTAGGAACACGTGTTCTGGGTGGTGTCTTTAAATACATTGTTCATTCTTGTATTTGGTAAGTTGTAACAATGCTTTTAGTTTTTGTGGTATCATGATAGATGTTTGGCTTTCTAGGAGTCTTGTTGCAGGCTTTTGTTTCATTTGTGCTCCAGGAACATCAAGGAACACATAGTGTGGGTTTGGAAGCCAGACCCCTAGTACATCCCCTGACTTTTACTCAGTGATTGAATCATCCTCTGCCCTGTTTATCTATTAGAATGCTTATTGTTACCATGGAGAAACAAGAATTTATTAAGAACAGGAAAAGAGAAGCACAACATTTTTAATGAGAAAATTTAATACTTTCTGATTTGACTATAGTGTCATCTAAAACTTACTAGAATTCATTGTTTTCCAATAATCCTCTACCTCTACCTCTGTCCACCTTGTTTTCTAAACTGGAAGTCAGGGTAAAAGGCCTGATCAGGTCAGGGTTGACCCTCTTTGACAAGGTGATTGGTTGGGCATGCATTTTGACTTTGAATGTGACATAGGAAGAGGTACGTGATTTTATCCATTTTTACCCTCTGGATTTTTTCATTTTATGTTACTCCAAGAAAGAAATCTCTGGAATGATATTTTAGTGTCATGGGACTAGTGGGTCATTATCCTTTTCATCCAGTGACTATGTCAGTCCTCTTTAGATATTGCAAAAATGCCAAATGTTGTTTCAAATCCTGGCATTTTAAAGCTATTTCTTGGCTAGCTTTTCTATAAAGAAGAGTTCATTTTTATCAACAGGAACAGTCCAGTTAATGTGAGGTTGGTTCTCAGGAGATGACAGATGGGTTATCCTCTTAGTTACTAGTCTAGAGTAAGGAGCTTGAGCATGATCCACTTCCCAGACACCAGGTGTTTCTTTTCATGTTGCTGCCTTTTTGCTTTGTGGTGGTGATTTGGAGCTTTGTGTATTAAGAGCTTGCAGGATTGATTTGTATGTGTTCCATTAGTTTTGGTCACTGGGTGGTTCATGTCATCTCTTTAAAAATGCCAGTGATACCCTCTTCAGAATGGTTCCTGTGTCCTTTTGACAGGGTCCTTTTAGACCCTGATGTTTATTGTGCCAGGTGCAGTTTTGATTTTTCCTCCAAATTTCCCATTTCTTAAAAAGTCCTGGTTCAGGCTGGAGAGATGGCTCAGAGGTTAAGAGCACTGACTGCTCTTCCAGAGGTCCTGAGTGCAATTCCCAGCAGCCACATGGTGGCTCACAACCATCTGTTATGAGATCTGGTGCCCTCTTCTGGTGTGCAGATATACATGGAAGCACAATGTTGTATACATAATAAATAAATAAAATCTTTAAAAAAAAAAAAGTCCTGGTTCCTTCAGTGGAGATTATATAAAGGATGCTCATTGTTCTAATGATACGTTTTCTCCTCCTTTTTAGCATTTTGTCCTTACCATATCGGTCATTTCTCCCTCGTTGGTTTGGGGTTTGAGGAACATGTGAGTACAATACTTTCAGAACCTTACTTTTGCTAATTATCCCCACGTTTGTTGTTTTCTAAGGAATATTTTATTTATACATACATACATATATAGAGAGTGAGAGACAGAGACAGAGACAGAGACAGACAGGGTTTCTCTGAGTAGTCCTGGGCTGTCCTGGAACTCACTTTGTAAACCAGGCTAGCCTTGAATTTACAGAGATCCTCCTGCTTCTGCCTCCCAAGTGCTGGGATTAAAGGCGTGCACCACCACTGCCTGGCTAGGAATATCTGTTTTTATTTTATGTATATAAATGCTTTGCTGGCATGTATGTGCATCACATGCGTGTTGTTGGATCCCGTGGAACTGAAATTATGGATGCTTGAGAGCCACCGTGCTGGTGCCAAGAAGTGGACCCGGGTCTTCTGCAAGAGCCACAAGTGCCGTGAACCCTGCTGAGCCATGTCTGCAGCCTACAGGGATATTTTCAAGAACTCGTTACTCAGAGTATCTTGTGCAAAGCAACAATTAGCCATCACAGTCTGGTTCTTTTCGTTTAAGGCTGAACCGTTGCTTAGGAAGTAGACTGTCGTATGCCAGCCGTTACAGACACCCTGTGGAACCTGACAGGGTGGTGGGCCTGAGGCATATTACACTTCGAGAGGTTTCCCATAGGGTTCTTTTCTCTCACTTGTGTGTCCCTCTCTGTCCCTTTTCCCAGGGTGGTCCAAAGTGAATTTTGGAAAGTATCAGTATACTTATCAATTTTTAAAAAGGGAATAGAAGACTGGCTTGGGGTAATGAACTATATATAGAGTTTTCTCTAGAATTTGCTTTTATTTTACATTTTGTCATTTCCTAATGATGGATAAATATTTGGATAGATTCTTGCTACTTTTTTTCTAAAACATTTTAATAGCTTAGACAAACATTCTGGTAGCTTGGTGTCCCCCAGCTCCTTAGCAGTGAAGAGTGTTTACACATATCTAGCTCTTACAGCAATTAGATGGTGATGGTGTTGTCTGTGAACAAGACTGCCTTTAGTGCTAAGGGACTACCACAGTTGGAAGTCCAAAAGATCCAAGAGTAGCGCTACTTTTATGGGCTTCTAAGGAATTGCTGACTGGCGTCTTTAGTTTCCTTTGTGTTCCGAGGTCACTTTTGGGAACATTCTGTTATCTGCTACTGCTCTGATACCTCATATTGTTTGCTTGTAAGAACCCAGAAGGCCAAGATAAGTGATTTCAGTAGGTACTAACTTTCTGAACTGTTGCTACTTATTATCTGTAACTCAGGAAATAAAAAGATAGGAATGAGAAATATTTGTCATTCTCCAAACTTTGCTTTCTGCACGTTTCCAGGACAGTTACGGAGAGTTAGAGAAACTTAAACAGTTACTTCTAAGGATATGAGATGATATGGCAAGGATGTTTCCAGTTGTGTGGGCAACGTGGACAGTGTGCTAGCAGTTGGCCCTTAGCTAAAGTGCATCTTTAGTGGGAATAGGGGCTGGCTGTTAAGATTGTCTTATTGGGAAATGTCACTCACTCTCTCATCTTGATTCTGGGTAAAAATGTTGTTCTTTACTATTACTCCAGTCTCCAGTAATATTTAACAGTTTAAAATGAAGAGAGTCTGGTTTGTAGATACCTTATAAAGGAAAGCTCAGTTTTAAATTACAAATACCTTGAGTCAAGTTTACCTTCTATCATTCAGATCACCTAGTATGCTTATAAACCAGGTTATCAACCATGAGGGAAAGTTTTATTTTATTTATTTGTTTTATTTTCAGGTCCAAGCATCTCATTTTGAAGGTCTAATAACGACGATTGTTGGATATATACTTTTAGCAATCACACTGATAATTTGTCATGTATCCTTTAATGATTCAGCGTGGAGGTATAAAACCATTCATACCAAAGAGTTCTCATTAATAACATTCATTAATAGTGAATCAGTGTGGATGTGCAAAGCCATTAATACCAGAGTTCTTACTAGTAACAGAGCTGCTTTCCCTTATGCCTCCATAAAAGTTAGTGTTTGTGAAGGGACGAGTATAGGAAGAATTTGGAATAAATGAAGTTTGTTATTACATTCATTATAACATGAACAGTTTCCTGTCTCCCACTCCCAAGTGTTCAATGTCTCCTTGACTAGATGCTGCAGGCCTTGGCAACTCTTGTTAAGTTCCATAGGTCTCGACGCTTGCTGGGAGTCTGCTATATTGTGGTTAAGGTAATACAGTTGTGAATTTAAGCTCAAAGTGGTTTGTCCTCCATTTGGTTGATACTGATGACCTTTATTTCTGTTTAATTAAGGTTTCTTTGTTAGTTGTGGTAGAAATTGGAGTGTTCCCTCTCATTTGTGGCTGGTGGCTGGATATTTGTTCTCTGGTGAGTTGTACCTATTGTCATACAATTTCATTTCAAAGTTTCAAAAAGTCATTAGAAAATATTCCTTTTAAAGAAAAGTATTTGGTGGTTTACTTATTCTTGGAATGAAACATTATTGAATCTTTAGCAGTAATTATATAATACTGTGTATATATCTGAATGTCAGAGTATTTTGATTGGAGTTTTTATAACTGTTGGAGAATTTTGTTACTCATTTTCTCTCCTAAATTTTATACTAATGTTGACCAGTTCTTAAAACCATACTAAATTTTAATAGTTCTTAGTTTTGATTTTTCAAATATATGTAGAAAAGCTGCTCTTGGTTCTGAGGATGGTAGTTATTCTTACTCTTTATTATTTAAAACCTTTTGCGAATGCAGACCTATAATCAATAAATCAAGATCTATATAGTTAAAAAGAATAGTTTTTACTAGTAGAGGGCTGAAAGCTCAGATCAGTTGGTAGAACGCTTGCCTAGGATGCGTGAAATCCTGGGTTCAATCCCCAGCACCACATAAGCTTAAGTGTGATAGCATGTGTTTGTAACCATAGCACTGAAGAGGAAGAGCCAGGAGGGTCAGAACTTCCAGGTTTTCTTCAGCTGCATAGCAAGTTCTAAGCTGGCCTAAGATACATGAGACCCTGTTACAGAAAAGAAATGAACTAGAAAAATTAATTATTTATACTTCTTGATTTTTAATTGCATTATTTATTTTGAGTATTTGCTCATGTAATTCTGAGAGAACAACTTGCAGGAGTGTTCTCTCAATGCCATGTGAGTCCCAGGGATCAAACTCATAACATCATGGTAACAAGAGCCTTTATCCACTGAGCCACCTTGCCTGCCTACGCTTCAAGATTTTAAAGTACTGTATACTCTTACATAGTTCTGTGGCACTGTGAAATGGCATTAAGAGAACTGAAAACCAAAAACATTGTTGTTACATATATTTGGTGATCTTAATGGTGGAAGTACTACTGTTGCAGGTGTTATGTGGCACAGATCTCTAACTTGTTATGTTTTGGCTTAGGAAATGTTTGATGCTACTCTGAAGGATCGAGAACTGAGCTTTCAGTCGGCTCCAGGAACTACCATGTTTCTGCACTGGCTGGTAGGAATGGTGTATGTGTTCTACTTTGCCTCCTTCATCCTGTTGCTGAGAGAGGTAGGTTCTATAAGGAAGTTTTGGTGTTCTGAATGTTTAGAAGGGCTTTGCTTTGACCAGCAGTGATCCTTTAAAGGCGAAGGTGTTTTCCTCACTAAACCATGTTCTCTACTGTTCTAAGAGGGAGTAACTAATAGTATAGCTTGGTTTGATTACTTTAAATTGATGTTTATGTCAAAAAGTGACAATGTTTTAAAAACAGTCAAGTCTAATTAAAAACCAAAGTTCTTACTTGATATACATCATAGCCTCTGTTGTAAAATCCTAAAATTGGTTGTGATAATAAATTGGCCTTAAACTTCATCCCCAAGAGAGTCCTTGTAGACCACGGCTCAGTGAGGATCCTTTATGATCCCAGTTCATTTGCTAGATGGGTACCCTCACAGATCCTGTTCTAACTGGTTTAAAAGTGAGGGAAGATTAGTATTTCCTCAATATACATTTGGAACTCCAGATTCTGTGCTGTGTGCTGCAGTAAAACAAAGGCATGATTCCTGTTCTACTTTGTCCTTGGGAATGAATAAATCCTTTGAACAAATTAGCTACTGAGATGGTGATGGAGGAGAAAGCCTACAAAGCCAGTGGGAATGGAATGTGAATTCATTTCTGCCATACCCTGTGAAATATGTGAGGAGGGTGGGGGTACATTTGAATCCTTCCTCTAAATCAGACAGTGTGCAGTAATATTTATATGTTTTTTACCTTGGTGATCCAGATTTCTTGATAAATTGTTCTTAATTCATGTTTTCCAGCTTACAATTAAAAGCATCAGAGGCCATAACAAGCACAGGAATTTCTGGCTAAGGAACTTGTTCCATAGCAGTTGTAAATTCTTTAGGACCATATTTTTCTGTTTATGTTCATATGCATAGCATAAGGATGTTATTGAGTATCACACTTTAAATATATTTGCAGGTACTTCGACCTGGTGTCTTATGGTTTCTAAGGAATTTGAATGATCCAGATTTTAATCCAGTACAGGAAATGATCCACTTGCCCATTTACAGGCATCTCCGAAGATTTATTTTGTCAGTGGTAAGCAGGTCTTTTCTTTTTCCTTCCCTCCTCCCCTCCCCCCCTTCCCTTCCTTCCTATTTCATACAGTGTTTTTGTTTGTATTCTTTTAGATTGGGAGGGCAGGGAAGCATACTGACTGTACTTACCTAAGCCTGTGGAATGTACTTACCAAGTCGTTTGCTTGACTCACAGTGGGTTGTGCCTGTTTCTTACTGCAGATTGTCTTTGGTTCCATTGTACTTCTGATGCTCTGGCTTCCTATACGTATAATTAAGAGTCTGCTGCCTAATTTTCTTCCCTACAATGTCATGCTCTACAGGTAAGGATTTTGTTGTTATTTTGGTGGTTTTGGGGATTGAACTCAGTACTAGTATGTTAAGCAAGTACCATACCATTGAGTGGCATCCCCAACCCTGTAAATACATTTGTAAAACTTAGACAAGCTGTAAGGATGTATGGGAACTTAATGTTTAAATCACATTAAGTATTTTATGTAATAGTTTCATTTTACCATGAATAGTCTCAGTCATATCTGTTAGTAGTTACATTTTCAAAGGAAGACTTATTTTTGCATTAGTTTCAGTAGCTTCATTACCCATAGTTCTCCTCAAGCTGTGGGGAATGCGATTGCTTCCTCAAATTTACTTCTGTCCTTTTAAGTCTTGGCAGTTCCAAGTCCTTAGGACTTGCACTAAACCAACTCATTCATAGCTCAGTAGCTTAGTTTCCGTCTCCCTTTGTTCTCCATTTATATCCCACCCTCATCCTTGCTGTCTCTTAATTTTCTGAGTTTGGTTGTAACTGATAGACTGAGGCGACAGTTGAGGAAAGCCTTGAAGGGAGGTGAGGAAGGGGTGCTGAGACATGTGGATCCCTTGAGACTGATTCGGGTGGGCACAGCAGCATCCAGGTCTGTTTGACAGGCTAGTTGGCTAAAAAAGAGATAGCAAAGTGGTTGGCTGTGAAGTCGGAGAAGTCCTTGAAAGCCAGCTCTTTGAGTGTTGGAGGCTGCAGTAAACACTTTGACTATGAGGCTTACTCTGGCTCCTGAATTCTAAGAGAGTGAGAATAATCAGGTTAGAAGCAGGAGGAGAGCCAGGAGATAGTGTGATGATCCTAGTGGAGATGGAGAGGGTATAGATGAAGGAGGTAGCAATGGGATCTAAGAAGCAGTTAGTTTATAATACCGCTAGGAGTCAAAGGAGGTTAGCAGCGTGGATGGGAGGTGTAAAGAAGGGAGTCAGAAACCAGTTCTGTTCTTAGCATGGGTAAGTTTGGACTTAGTGTATTGAGGGGTAGGTGACAGTGGGAAGAGATCAGGGGTTTTGTGGGTGCTTGTTCTAAGTGTGATGATGCACATCGGCGTGGAGCACTGAGTTCCATGGTTGATACACAAGTCTGGAGTAGGAAGAAATGTCAGTAGCAGATGAAGGTGGTATTGAAGCCATGAGAGTCACAGTCACACAATCAATAAGCATAGTTGAGAAAGAGGATAGAACTGGGACCCTCAGGACCCTCATACTTTTTGACTGGGAAAGCAAAGGAGAAACAGCTGGTTTGGAAGCTGTTGAGGGAGATAGGAGGAAGGGTGAGCAGCTCTAACATGCTGCTCTCACAGTGCAACTGAGCACTGTGGCATGGCCATTGGTGGACACCAAGGGACCAAGAACAGCTTCAGGGGAGTTTGGGATGGCAGCCTCACTGACTTGAAGAGAGAGTGAGAGAAAGGCAATAAATCAAGACAATGGGTTCATTTGGCTTGCAGATTTGTTTAATCTGATTAGATGTTTTATAAGTTATAATGGAAATAGAACTCATGTTGTAAATCTGTGACTGTTGTAGTGATGCTCCGGTGAGTGAGCTGTCCCTTGAGCTGCTCCTACTGCAGGTCGTCTTGCCAGCATTGCTAGAACAGGGGCACACGAGGCAGTGGTTGAAGGGGCTTGTGCGTGCGTGGACTGTTACTGCTGGATATTTACTGTGAGTATGGCAGCTGACTCCCTGGTTGTCTATGTCGTCTGTGCTATAACTTTTTCCCCCTTTTTTTGATACTGGGGATTGAAGGACCTCATATGTACTATACAAATGCTATGCCACCGAGTGACATCTCCAACCCCATGTTTCATTTTAATTTTGAGACAGTCTTGGCCAAGCTATAGCCCTAGAGTCCTCATGCCCCAGTGCTCAGAGTATAGGCATGTACTACCTTGGCCTGTCTTATTTTATAACCTTTTTGAAAGAAGTGTGATCTGTAAAAAGTAGTTTTAGAGGTTAGAGATATGGCTCAGCTGTAAGAATTCTTGCTATTCTGCCAGAGAACCTAGTTCCTTTCCCAGGACTAATGTCAGGCCACTCACCACTGTCTGTGAGTCCAACTCTGGGTATCTGACACCTTTTCTGGCTCTGGGGGCACCTACACACATGTGGCATAGATACACACATGCACACATATAAATAAAAACTCTTAGAAAACCCTAGGTTTAATAAGAAATAGTTGAGTACTGTCTGCAGGCTGCCCTTTCAGAGAGGGTGTATGCACACTGGCCCCTCTTGTGCAGGCTCCCTGCTGCACCTTCTTTTGTACTGTCAGATGTGACAAACAAAGGGTATTGGGGCCAGGTCAGACTACACTGTGAGCTTATGTAGGAATGTGACAGTTCCATCAGTACACATATGCAGTACATTTGAAGACAAACTGACTTACCAGGTAGTTTTCTAAGGTTTGATTTCTTGTTTGTCACTTAGTTACTTTTCGCATTGCTGTGATAAAATAGCCAACAGAAGCAGCTGAAGGGAGTGTTTGCTTTGGCTTACATTTTGAGGGTAGAGTTGGTTGTGGTCCCGGGGGAAGTTTTGGCAGCAGGAGCTTGAGGCATCTGCTCCCATTACATTTGCATTGAGGAAGCAGAGAGAGAGCGAGAGAGATGCTGGCCCACAACTAGCTTTCCTAGTTTATTCTGCTCAGGGTCTTTGGCCTGCCTAGTGAACGGTATCACTCACTTTTGGATGGGTCTTTCCACCTTAGCCTAAGTTAGACACTCTCATTGGCATTCCAGAGGTCTGTCTCCTAGGTTCTGTCTTAGATTTCCTTTCCATTGTTGTACTAAAACACCATGACCAAAAGCAACTTTGGGAGGAGAGGATTTATTTCATCCTATACTTCAGGTAGCAGTCCATCACCAAGAGAAGTCAGGTCAAGAACTCAAGGAACCTGTAGGCAGGAAGGATGCAGAAGCCATAAAGAAATGCTGTTTATTGGCTTGATTCTTAGGCTTTATCATACTGTTTCTTATATCCCACCCCACCCCCAAACCATCTGCCCAGGATGGCACCCACTGCCCGTGGGATGGGCCTTCCCACATCAATCACTAATCAAGAAAATGACTTGATTATATAGGCTTACCCACAGGCCAGTCTGCTGGGGGCGTATTCTTCATTTATTGTGTTCCCTCTTCCCAGATGACTGTAGCTTGTGTCAAGTTGACATAAAACTGGCCAGCACTGTGATTCTAGATTTTGTCAGGTTGATGATGAGGGTTAACTCCCATAGCCATTTGTTTTTTTGAGTCCATAAGATAGGGGAGTTTCTGTGAAATATTTGGCATACTGTGGTAAATTACCGTGTGATGTAGACTTGGTTATATTTGATTAAACACCCCTCTTCTCGTCTGAATTGATCTGTAGTTTATACAGGAGACACAGTAGTCCTTAGGGAAGAAGAAGAAGGTTTTCACTCTGTGCAGCCTGATGCCAGCTGTCTGTGGTTTCCTCTAAATCACTGACTTCTTCCCAGATGCTGGGTGAAGAACAAAATAGGTTGCGTTTGTGGAGTGTCCCACAAGCTAGCTAACGCAGTTGAAGCAGACACCAGCATATTTAGTCTAGATAGCAGGAATAATGCTCTATGTAGAATCCACATACACGATTTCTACCCTTTAAGAAAATACATCATGATTGTCTTTGTCACTTTGACCTGAAATGAGACCAGTGTAACTAACTGGTAACTTTTGTGTAGGGACCTTCATTCCTACTTACTGGGAGACCAGGAGGAAAACGAGAACAGTGCAAATCAGCAGGCCAACAATAACCAGCCTGCTCGAAACAACAATGCTGTTCCTGCTGGGGAGGGTCTGCATGCAGCCCACCAAGCCATACTCCAGCAGGGAGGCCCTGTTGGCTTTCAGCCTTACCGTCGGCCTTTCAATTTCCCACTCAGGGTAAGTCTGTACAGCCTGACTTGTGTAAATCAGTCTTTACTTTGAATTTTCTGTTGAGAATTAATGCTGTTAAAATTGATGCTTTGTAGCTATGTCTTACCATTCATGGAAACAAACCTGTTTTATTACTCATTATGCAGTGTAGATGTTCAAAGTAAGTTTATCAGATTTTGGAGATGGATACTGTGTGGAATTAGGATTCCATGGACTTTAAGATCTCTTGTTTGAGAAAAAAAGATTGTAAATTAGAAGCTAGCATGATGGATAACATTATACTGTGTGGCAGGAACTGTAATGACATGTAAGTGTTCACCTCGGATTTCATCTCTACTTAACAGCTATCAGAACAGAACTGTGTCCCTCAGTAGGGCAAAGAACCATGAAGTAAAATACATTGAGTGTGGAGTAGTGCGCGTATGGCCATCTCTCCTCTATGCATGCCATCTCCTAAGTATATTCAGTTATCTGTAGTTCCAAGCTCACCATATCTAGTGTATAGTTAAAAACCTGGCATATGCCAGATGTTGGTAGCTAATGAAACTGGAGACCAGCTTGGCTAAAAATATGCCTGTTTTTCATGGTCTTGAAGCTAGGAATCACTCTGTGATTCAGAATCTTGGCAGAAATTTATCCTGATGACTAGTGCCATTTACATGCAGTTCATTATATTTCAAATCCCCATTTATTATGGTTTGAGGTTGTGAGTCTGATCATTTTGAAACTTGAATAGATTTAAAAAAAAAAAAAAAAACCCTCTCATTCCCAGTTCTTTTTCTGTAAAAATAGTCATCATTTTTCTCTTACCTGTGGGTTGTATGTAGCCATTGTTTACACGCCTTGAGTGTCTGTGATATTTTTGATTCGTGTTAGGGCTATAGAGATCATGCATGTAGTCTTTTCCCTGAAACCACTTTCAGTCTACTTTGGGAGATTAAAAAACAAAACCAAACCGTAGCAGATTTGGGTTCTCACTACTTTTGGTTTGTAGCACAAGTGCATGGAGATCTTCATGGAGGAGGTGGTTGCTCGGCTGTCTTTAATGCTGACAGGGCAAGCAGATTAAGAAATGGAAAGTAGGAAGGCCATTCCAGGCATAGGCCAGGAGGGGGTACATGGGACTTGGTAAGCTCGGAACTGCAGGTAACTGAATGTAATGGGGCCGTTTGCAGAGGAGAGATGAGGGACAATGGAAGCTGTGGCAGACAGGGCTCTTGGATAAGCAGCAGCCGCGTGGAGAGTCCTGAACATCATGCGTACACATCTATTCTGAAGCAACAACTTATTCTAGAAAATGTTGCTTATAATGGTGAAGGAAACTGGAAGGTATTTCTTCAGTTCCCTTTATATGAGAATCCTAAAAGCAGACCTCATAGTTAATACCCGTTTCACTTAACTGTGGTTTTCACTCAGCCCTCTTGCTGAGTGAGGGGCGGTGGGGGGTGGGAGGGAGGCCATCAGAGACAGAATCACTAAGGCTTTTGAGGCAGGCAAAGCTGTAGTGTTAATTGAGTTTTTTCTCATCAAGAACACTGCCCTCTGATCTTGGGGAAGGTCTACCTGGTAAGGTAGAAATTGAGCTGCAATGCTGTCTTGCAGGCCAGGAAAAAGGGGTTCCTCTTCTCTGTGTGCTATTGTTCTGTTGTTACTTCCCAGCACATTAGCCACTGGCTATGTGTATTTATTTATAGATAAAATTAATGAAAATAAAATTTAAAATTCTAACATTACACAACATTGTTCATATGTCAGAAGCTCAATAGCCACATGTGACCAGTGACTTTTGTGTTGGACAGTGCAAAACTAGATGTTTCTATCACCACACAGAACATCTAATTGAATAGCATTGTTACTGAGTTGAGAAGGGTGGATATTTTAAAATTGTTATACTAAATTTTGGGTGAGTTTGTTTTGCTGAGTATAATAAATATGTTTGCTTCTTTCTTGTGGGTATATCTGATTGTGTGAAAACACTTATTTTCCACAGGCTGTCTCCCTATCCTGATAACATAAGTGCAAGCTCTCTCCCTCCCCTGAAAGTACAGGTGTAGGTTCCCTCCCTCCCCTGAAAGCACAGGTGCAGGCTTTCTTTCCTCCCCTGAAAGCTCAGGTGCTGGCTTTCTTCCCTCCCCTGAAAGTAGAGGTGCAGGCTCTTTCTCCCCCCTGAAAGCACAGATGCGGGCTGTTTTCTACTTCCCTAAAAGCATAGGTGCAGGCTGCCTCCCTCCCCTAAAAGCACAGGTGCAGGCTGTCTCCCTCCCCTGAAAGCACAGGTGCAGGCTTTCTTCCCTCCCCTGAAAGCACAGTTGTAGGCTGTTTCCCTTCCCTGAAAGCACAGTGTAGGCTGTCTCCCTCCCCTCTTTCTCTCCTCAGTGCTGGTGTTCCAGGCACATGTCCCTGTGCCCAGGGGCAGGCTTTTACAGTGAGAGTGTTACTTGGACTCTTGGAGTGTCAGAGTACACTGAGAACATGTGAACCACTTGCGAACTGTTTTTCTTGCAGATATTTCTGCTGATTGTCTTCATGTGCATAACATTACTAATTGCCAGCCTCATCTGCCTTACTTTACCAGGTATGAATTTATCCCAGCATTCAGCTGTTCAATGTTAAGATTCTTTTCTCAAAACAGGCTATATCTTATGGAGAAGAGATTTGTCATCAAATAGAAACTGGAAATAGTTATAATGTTTGGTTCACAGGCTATTGATCCCTTAAGAGTATTTCATCCTGTTGCGATCTGTAGATCATAAGTTCACCAGTTCCAGAAACAGTTATGGGTTTCCCCAGAGCATGGCACTACAGGTTCTCAGTTTTCATGGTGGATCACACTATGAATTTTCAAAGTCATTTGTAAGATTTAAGACATTTTACAGTCAGTATATAAAGAACTTTATAAAGTTAGACTGTTTCCTCAAATCTGCAATTTACAAATATTGATCTTCTCTGGTATTGACTTTGCTCCAAGTTTCAACCAAATAATATTTCTTCATCTAACAAGTAAGCTGCTCTGGTTGGATACAGTAGTTTGCTGTCCTCTTCATTGTTCAGCCCTCAGTGGGATAGAGTATAAAAAGCCAGTGACAAATGAGAGTAGCTTGTCAAGTTGTCTATGTCCAATGAAGACATTCCAAATCATGCTGATAGTTGTTAACCATTAAATGGTGTATTGAGTAATTCTTGATTATGATACTAACTCAATAATTTTATACATCAAATTTGTATTAAAATTTGTCCCACAAGTTGTTATAAGGCTGAGAAAGAACAACTAGGGACATTAAAATTAAAGTGATGTTTCTTAAAAATTTTTTTATTTGAAGAAATTGTGATTTTTACCTTCATTTGGTTAAAAATAAAGTTTTTTGTTTCTATGTGGAGACTTTAAAAAAATTTATTGATTCTTTGAGAATGCTATTTTATTTTGGTTTTTCAAGACAGGGTTACTCTGGGTAGCTCTAGCTGTCCTGGAGCTTGTTCTGTAGACCAGACTGGCCTTTGCCTCCTGAGTGCTGGGATTAAAAGCATGTGCCACCACCACCCAGCACTACAGTGTTCAACCAATCAGGAACCACTGCCCTTAAAGAAACCAGAGTTCTTCCCTAGTAGCCATCAGCTGTTCCTTAGTTAAGGGGGGGTCAGGGCTTATGAACTCCTTCTACTCCATGCTAGAAGTGGCTTGACTTGATTTTGTTGAGATCATGTGCCAGCAAACAAAGCCGCTGTGAGTTTGAGTGTAGTGGTCCTGTTTTGCTGTGTTTGGTGTTTTCTAGTCCCTCTTTCTCAATGATCTCTGAGCCGTGGGAAATGGGGATGTGTATGATACAGATATCCTCTAGGCCAACTCTCTACGTGAAGACTTATGTAAGACCTTGTAAGACTTGAAGCTTCCTTGTCTTTCTACATCATAGCTGGCTAACTACCTAGCTACAGTGTGAACACAGATGTAGTTTTTATGTTTCATTCTCATATTTTTAGCCAGTATTTTAAAAATCAGTAGACAAAACTTTTTTTCTCCATTTTTTAATTTAAATTAGAAACAAGATTGTTTTAAATGTCAATCCCAGTTCCCTCTGACTCCCCTCCTCCTCTGTATCTCCCCCCCCCCCACTAACACCCTATCTATCCCATACCCTTTCTGCTTCCCAGGGAGGGTGAGGCCTTACATAGGGGGTCTTCGGAGTCTGCTATATCCTTTGGGATAGGGCCTAGGCCCTCCCCTGTGTGTTTAGGCTCAAGGAGTGTCCCTCTATGTGGAATGGGCTCCCAAAGTTTTAGGGATAAGTAATGATCCACTACAAGAAGCCCCATAGATTTCTGAGGCCTCCCCACTGACACCCATAGAAGAAACTGGTTTTTATGTTTGAATTTAATACTGTTATTTAAACATTTCCCTTTAATCTAATCCTACATGGTAGAAGGAGTAGTTTTAGTTCATTACAGAAGAGCTTTGACAGGGTGCACAGTTGAGGCTAATGGAACCTTGTTTCTTCCCGTAGGTTGCCTTCCTTAGGCACAACTTCACTGGTGGTCTGTAATCTATCCCAGTCTTCTCAGAAGTAGAGAGAGTGGAGGAGGGGAACAGAAGGAAGAGAGAGGGGGTAGAAATTGACTGTTATACGTAAAACTAATAAAAACATTTCAAAGACAGACCCTAGAGTAGAAACTTATGTAGAGCACTAAACACTTTTGCAGGGTGTCAGTGGTGATTTTGGTGTCTTGGGATTAATACACATGTTTACTTATTTTATAAAACAAGTATATTCATCCTCCTTTTTTTTTTTTGCTGTGAGTTGAACCTCAGGGCTAGTGAATGCATGATTGTATTCCCAGTACAGTGTTTGTCTTTGAAAGAGCCATTTCCATATTCACACTATTTTGAGAGTTGATAAAAAAAATCTATTCTTATTATGGTTATAGCTTGTGGTGTTTGACTGTTGAGCTAGCTTAGTTTGACTAGGAGGTAGTATGCAGGTCATCAGGCAAAAACATGAGCTTTATCATATAGACATATATTCAGGTCTCTCTTCTACCTGAATGTGGCTGAGCCTTGTTGTGTGTGGTGGATGAAGGGTTAACTATTGGAGAATGAACGAGATGACAGGTGGGAAATTCTCAGCACACTGACCAGCTCTGTTTAGTATTCAGACAGCATTAGGAAGGCAGTCTATAATAGAACACTAGAGATTTGAGTCATCTCTCAAGCCTTATTGAGAATCAGTTATGTATGGAAAGTTAAAAAATTCTATAACTGATATGCTTCAGCAGTTAACTGTGTGGCTGGACCATAGAGTTTATTCCCAACATTCTTCGCTGTGCTTATGACTCAGCAGTCAGGAAGCTGAAGCAGGAAGATTGCTTTTGAGTTTGAGAACACCTCTGACTGTAGTGTCAAGCCCTGTCTCAAACGAAAGACAAAGAAAAAAACTTAACAGCCTTTTGGAAGATCTCAAGTCTGTGTCTTGTTTTATTTTGGTGTTGATTTTTTAAATGAATGTTTATATGGTATTCCTTGATGCTGCATTTTGAAATGTTATTGTACCTACTCTGTTATTTTGAAAAGCTAAGATTTCTGTGCAAATGAATGGATCATTTGGAAGAGAATTAGCTTAAATTGTTTGCAGGGTTCCTAGATAAAGTGTTGACGGCACAAATAATAGAAAATTTCTACCTTTATCCTATTAGCATACTAATTTCAGTTGGTAATAAAAATAATGAGAGCATCAGTGCTCATAACTTCCCAGGCTAGGAGAAATTAGTAACTGGCATGACACATCAGGGCGCATATTCTGGGAGAATCAGCTAGCTCATTGACTTTATTTGGGGTATTTCTAAATCAAACAGTTCATTTTTCTAGAGAATTGTTTTTGTTTATTATGATGTGAAAATATTTATAAAATATCAAGATTACAGTTCTCTTTACCTAGCCACATGTCTCATTTGTCAGCTTTTCTATTTTCAGTATTTGCTGGCCGTTGGTTAATGTCATTTTGGACGGGGACCGCCAAAATCCATGAGCTGTACACAGCTGCTTGTGGTCTGTATGTATGTTGGCTAACCATAAGGGCGGTGACGGTGCTGGTAGCCTGGATGCCCCAGGGACGCAGAGTGATTTTCCAGAAGGTGAAAGAGTGGTCCCTCATGGTAGGTTTCTGTAATAAGATATATTGGTCCTATCTGATGACAGTAAATACTCTAACAGCTGCTTCTCATTTATCTTCTCTTGGGTCACTGGTTTTCAGAAGAGTTTATTTTTTTATCAGAAGGAATACTCCTTTAAGATAGTAACCTTCCATTTCACTTAAACCACAGTTCTATACCAAGATGCACATGAGTTAACAGAAGAATGTGTTGCTAAGTAATCTCATGAAATCATTAACAGTTACAGAAAGTGCTTTTGGAGATGAGAATGCATAAGTAATGGAAGTCATTCTCAAAACCCTGATTTCACACAGAGTCAAAGACAGATCCTTATCTGTTGCCTGGGCTGGTGAATATGGAGGTCACTTCTTTGCCTAGTCATTGGGTCATCAGCTCTGATTTCTGTATCTGTGTTTATATGTTGCTTTCTCTTAGAGTGTGTACATTTATGTTTATGCTGAATCCCTTTTTAATGTTTTATAATTTCACTTATTATTTGCACATACTATTTGACACCACATGTTAACTCAGTAATACCTGTGTATATGAGGTATATTCTAATTAGACTAGCATATTTCACTTTTCGATCATTGTACAATTACTGTATGTTGATAAAGTCCATGTGTGTAGCGAGAGATTTATTGTACATGATGAGTGGACAGAGTTGATTGCTACTTAGTCCTTAGGGTAATGAGCAACTTACAATATTTAATACAGAGACCAGCTAATTTATTTGGTAGTCTATCATATCTTCACAAATTCCATGTAAAGAGGTAGTATGTATTCTACCAATACCATGTTTGGTCATATATTAGAATAGTTGTATCCACTGAAGCCAGAAGGTTAAAGGTTACTTTAAGACTGATCTCATTGTAAGTATTTTGTAGTTCCTTTTACTTTTATCAATTTTTTCTTATTTTTCTACTTAATCCAAATTCTAAAACTGCATTGTGAATACACCAGCTGTAGTTGCTAATGTATTGACCAGATAGGCTAATGTATTGACCAGATAGACATCATTTCTTCGTCAGAAAATCATACTGTTCTAATGTGGTCAGTCTGATTGGCTTGATGTAGTACTTGAACTAGAGTTAGGATGAACCACCACTTTCCCTGAGAGCTCTCAGATCCACTTACGAGTTAGGTAGCTGTTGGATCGGTGTTTTGGCAAATCGGTAGGTTTTGCAGGTAGACAGAAGTACTGAGAAGGATATTTTGAGGAAAGCATCACAGTTACCTTGCTAATTATATATATAGTAAATGAAAGTTTTGGGAAAAATCTGTTTCATAGCAACAATCCATAGTAGTAATAGGTTTCGTTGCAGCTAGAGCTCTGCATTCATGCATTCTAGCAAGTTTACTTGATGGGTTTGGGGATGACTAGACTGATACTCTCTTCCCTAACAAGCTGGAGGACCCAGATTCATTCCTCAGGACCCACATAACATGCTGAGTGTGATGATGTGTTCTTGTAATCAGTGATGAAGGGGCAGAAACAGGAGGCTTGCTGGCTGAGCAGCCTAGCCTAATTGGTGAGTTCTGCGCCAGTGAGACACTCTTTCTTAAAGGAGGGCGATGACATTTGAGATTATCCTCTGACATCCATTTGCATATGTGTACATGGCATGCAGATTCACAAAGCACATGTCCATATATGCATTAAAAAAGAAACTCCACTGAAATATCTAACATGAAAATGTATGTATATGTTGCTTAAAATAAAATTGTTGCCCCATTGGGCATCAGGCTAAAGAGGAAACAGCCTGACGGTAGACTAGACTTTGTCTGGACTGAATCTCTATAGTGATTGGATGTCCATTTCCTACTAGATAATGAAGACTCTGATAGTTGCTGTGCTGCTGGCCGGGGTTGTCCCACTGCTCCTGGGCCTCCTGTTTGAGCTGGTGATTGTAGCTCCTCTGAGGGTCCCTCTTGACCAGACTCCCCTCTTCTACCCTTGGCAGGTACATGTGTCTTATCTTTGTGATTGCTGCTAATGATTTGTGACCAAAAAAAAAAATCTTTGATTATTTTAGTTCACTTTATTCAGTTGGTTTAGGAAGATTGTTTTTCAGTTCTAGGAACCCTTGTTGTTGAAAGAATGCCCTTTGCTCTTGCTTTTAAAATGTAAATGCCACATAAATCCCTTTCTCAGAATACTTTATGGATTAAAATGTTGCTCTTCACTGAGCTTGCTGTCTAGGACTCATGTGGAAGAACTGATCCACACATATGATATGGGATGCACTTTTTCCCTGTCTCCCTAAAATAAAGAATGAAATTAAGAAAAAAATGTAAGGTTGTATTTCATGCTGTTGTGAGGATTTGCAGTTCTAAGCAGGGACTAGTGCTTGTAGGGTTTGATGTACATTGTTTAAAATGTCTTGGTGGGATGGGAGGGGCAGGGTAGTCACTAGCTAGCTGAAGGGGAGAGGGTGGAGGCAGGTACCATGGAGACCTTGGTTTCGGTGGTGCTGGGAATGGGAAACAGTCCATGTCTATCTCGTACAGTTCAGGAAAACCACAAATACCTGAGCTTTCAAGCCTTTGAAGTAATTTCTTAGGCCCAAAATGTCTTATTACAACATAAGCTAGCTCAGTCCATACCAATAACACAGGACAAGCAACAAACACGGTTGATAAAATGATAATGTCCTTTTATTTGTTACTGGGGTCTCATTAATGCCCAGAATTTCTATATTTTCTCAAGAAAATAATGTAGGTCTCTAAAAGATAATGAGTATTTTATTCAACTTGAACTTTTACATCTTAATCCCCACCCCATGTTTTTTGAGAGTTTTGTACAGTATATTTTGATCATACTCATTCCTTCCCTCCACTCTTCCCAGATTCATTCCTCCTTCCCTGGCTCCCAACTTTGTTCCCTTGGGGAAGATGGATTTTTAATCTATCAAATATGTGCTGCCCATGTATTCGTGGATGTGTGGCCTTTACCACCACCTCCCCACACACACCTTTTTTTTTTTTTTTTTTTTTTAGACAGCGTTTTCTCTGTGTAACAGCTCTGGCTGTCCTGGAACTCACTCTGTACAGACTGGCCTTGAACTCATAGAGATCCACCTGCCTCGGCCTCCCTCTCTGGTCAGCATAGAACTTAAAGAAAACTGATTCTTTCCAATAAACTGTTAGCTGTCAGTTGCTGTGCAGCTGCTGTTGTGAAACTGAAGAGCATTGTGTAGGCTTTGTCAGAGTCAGTGAAGATGTGTTAAGTGTTCCTGGTATCCTCTGGTTACAGGACTGGGCACTGGGAGTGCTGCATGCCAAAATCATCGCAGCCATAACTCTGATGGGTCCTCAGTGGTGGTTGAAAACTGTCATCGAACAGGTGAGAAGCCAGTTTCAGAGAGAGATAGTCTGAAATGGGTTGTGATTGTATTTAGCTAATGGAATTTTAGTTTTAATGTTTCTGCTTTTTTGACCTCTTTATTTTCATTAATGTGCACATACAGTTTTGTTTTTTTTTTTTAACTCTGTGTGTGTGTGTGTGCGCGCGCGCTCGAGCACGCACTTTTACTCACTTGGCCAACTTGCTGGCCTTTCTTGTTTTAAAGAGGAGGCTGTTTTTCCTCGTATTATAGCTGTTAAAAATAATTTATGCCTTGAGAATGAGTAACTATTAAATAGCTTTGAATTCCAGCTGATACAATGCTTTTAAAGAAATAGTAAAAAATCTAGGTAGCTGGTAAGCTAAAGAAAAGGGGTTTGAAACTGCAGGCAGCATATTCGGGGAAGAGGGGAAACTGATAGATAAAGGACTAGTTAATAGCTCATGGCAGCCACTGCCTTCCTGCATTTGCAGCACTTGAGATGTGAAAGACAGGAGGATCCCGTGCCCTAGGTCATCCTCAGTTATGTAGCAAGTTCAGGGACAGCCATGGTCACACGAGACCCTATTTTAAAAAGAGTGCATAATAAGGTTTATCAGTGTTGGTTTCTGTGATCCTTTCTAGGCCTGTAAAGATTCAAGTTGTTTCTAGCTAACATTTGCCCTCTTAGTAGTCTTAGGAGGGTGAACCACCGTTGTACCTGCTTTTATCTAAAGAGAGAGGAAGGATCAAGTGCTTCCTGCAAGTGCTGCTCCCAGTTGCCTCCTGCTTAAATCCATGCTCATGCCAAGGATGTCGAGGCCCTTTAATGCTTATTCTGGTTTCACACATCATGGTGGCTTTTTGCCAGTCACCCATAACTCACTTGAAGGTTAGCCAGTAAACTAAATACCTACAGCTTTGTCTAAAGTGGAGGCGGAGCTGATCCTTGTCATTTTTCCACTGCAGACGTTCTGATGCAACTTTGCAATTCATACTTATAAGCCTGTACCAGATAAAAAGTTACTACTCACATAACAGGGTAGGGTTGCTTAGGAATAAATACCCTGATTACTTAGTGTGTAGGATGTTGTGGTATTAGGAAGCTGTCAGATAACCTGGCTGTCACGGTACTAACCTTGAAAAGAGTAGATTCTGCTTTTGAGTGCTAATCAGCAGGAAGTACAGTAAGTCACTTGAAAAGGGTTTCTACTCACATCAACCAAGTAGAGCCTTTAGTACTTGTTCTTTAAACTTTAGCTACTAGGAAATGTACTCAAGGACAGCCCAGCTTTCTTATTCTTAGGAGATTGCCAGACCGATGAGTCTTACAGGTCTGCAGCAGTTAAGACCCATCTCTTCCTGATATAAAGAAAGTAAAGGCAGTAGTTCTCTCTGCCCCATCTCCTGCCACCATGGGGAAATCATTGGAAGTAGTCCTGGACCCTCAAGCTGTTGATTCTTAGACTAGGAGTGGGGCCAGGAAACAGTTCATCAGAAAGCCAGTGTGTGAGTTGGTGTGTGTGCTGTGGCAGTACATCCCTTCAGATAGAAGTAAGAGCCTGTCCCCTGGAATGTTGAAACTCCGACCTCTGCAAAGATGTCTGGAAATGGGGTTCATTTGCAGCTGTTGTTGTTTATGGGGTCCCTTTGTCTGTTGCATTTTAGAGTGGGGGGGTGTGGGACAAGGGGGCAGAAGATGAGAAACAGTAATGAAGGCTGACTGAGAAGCACTGTGGTGCCTGCTCCTTAGTGATGGTGCATGTGGCTTGCTTTGATGGGAGGTGGACCGTGTATCTAGAAGCTTGATCCTGTTTGTTCTTCAGATCTTGGAGTAAGTAAGGGCTTGAGTTAGTCCACATCCTGGCTTCTAAGAAGCTGTGGAGCCAAGAGAAGAAAATAAAGACAGTTCTGTTTTATCCCTCTGTCTACAACAGTGTTTTCCATTTTCAAGGTTTCCTACTTTGATCCATTTTTTTTCCCCCTGCAAAACTCCATAGTAGCATTTTTCTAAGATAGTTAGGATTTCCTGGGTGCCACAGCACTCATGTGAAGGCCAGAGGACAAGTTGGGCAAGTCATTTCTCTCCTTCTGTATTGTGGGTTTTGGTAACCGTCACTTGTCACTGTTTCAGGTTTATGCAAATGGCATTCGGAACATCGACCTGCATTATATCATCCGTAAGCTGGCAGCTCCAGTGATCTCCGTGCTCTTACTTTCCCTGTGTGTACCGTATGTCATAGCTTCTGGTGTGGTTCCTTTATTAGGTGGGTAATGCTTATCTTAGAACACTAAAAAAAATACTAACATACATAAGCTAGTTTGTTGCCATTTTGGCTGTTTGGAATAGCCAGCCTACTGGCTTTTTTATATTATGTTTATTAAGATATATTACCGTTTTCCCATTAACATGTAGACTTCAGAATTACTATTTGAAGCCTGGCAGTGGCAGCACCCGCCTTTAATCCCAGCACTCGGGATGCAGAGGCAGGTAGATCTCTGTAATGTTGAGGCCTGCCTGGTCTACAGAGTGAGCTCCAGGACAGCAAGAGCTCATAGTGAGACCCTATCTTGAAACACAGATGTATGCATGTGCACACACAGGTGCACACACACACACACACACACACAATTACTGTTTGATTTCCACACCTATACCTTTTCATATGTGGGTTACAAATATCATTTTGAAGACAAAGGGTAGGTACTTTATAATCCAAGCACTTGGGAGGCCAAAGCTTGAAGATCTTAAGTGTGAGACCAGTTTGCAGTTTGCATTACACATCAAGATCCTGTCTCAATGAAAAAGGAAAAGTAAATTTTATTATACCTCTTGGGAAACTTTTAATAAAAGGGGTAATAGTAGTGAATGAATAATAAAGCACTTATTGGCCCTGTTTTAGCTTTGCATAGCTACTGTTATTATTCTTTAGGGTGTGTGTGTGTGTGTGTGTTATTCTGAAACAGGGTCTTTCATTGGTGTGTAGTTCACTTATTTGGCAAGGTTGGCTAGCCATTGAACCCCAGGGATCTGTCAGTTTCTGCCTCTGCAGCAATGTTATTACAGGTGTGACCGTCATGCCAAAATTTCCCGTGGGGGTTCACGGGTCAGACCCAGGTCCTTCACTGTCTAGCCTGTCTCCCCACCCAGTCTGTTGTTCTTAGACCTCTTGAAGGTTTTATCAACTCAGTTTAGAGATGAGGACGCTGAAGTCCATAGAGATTGAGATCTTCCCCAATTGCAGATTTCAAGGAGCGAGAGATTTGAGCAGCGCTGAGCTCCAGCGTGCATGGTCTTTCACCACAGTAGATGAGTGACGTTTAGGGTAAACCACTTGTGAGACTTCTTCGGAGTACATCTCTGCTTTTAAAGCCTTCCTATTCCAAAGGAGAGTGAAAACTCATGAGCTGGAAGTTGAAAAGGAAGTAATTGGGTTTTATAACAATGAATCAACAATGTTTGATTATATACTGTTTATGATTGTGGGAAGGTGGGGGTCTCAGGTAGTCCAATCTGCACTTTCTGGTAGGTGAGGAGGACCTGGGATTTCTGATCTTCTGCTTCTGTCTCCCTATCGTTGGGATTATATGTTGTTCCCTATGCCTGGATTTATGTAGTGCTGCTGGGTATCCAACCCAGCTGGCCAACCACTGGACCAACTGGCATCCCTAGTCAGATCTTCCATCTTACAGGCACAGGTTTTGTTTGTTGTTTTCAGTGCTGGGAATTGAACTTATGGCCTCACTCAGGCTAGGCAAGTACTCTAACTATGAGCCCTATTCCCTGCTCTATATAAGCACAGTATGTTCAGTTTTTAAATGGTGATATAGCTGAAATAAATAAATGACACACCACCAATTGCTTGTGGAGTCCAGGATGTTTACATTTGATGAAACTTGTGCAGCACCTACCTGCACTCAAGTTACTTCACAGAAGAGAAGCAGATGTTAGTGTGGGGCTCATTGCCTGTGTGTAGTCCTCAAGTCTATCAGAGCATTTGTGAAGCCTCTCTGCTGCACCCAGATCCCTCTTCCTAGGGAAAGGCCAGACCTTATCTTAGTCCACAGGCCCATTAGTCCATTTTCTTTTGCTTTAACAAAATTGTCTTTGTTTGGTTTGCCAGGTGTTACTGCCGAAATGCAGAACTTGGTTCACCGGCGGATTTACCCGTTTTTACTGATGGTTGTTGTATTGATGGGGATACTGTCCTTCCAGGTCCGCCAGTTTAAGCGCCTTTATGAGCACATTAAAAATGACAAGTAAGTCTAGAATTCTGTTCATCTAGCCACTCTTAAGGTGGTGTCCTTTTGTGGGTTTTGTGCTCGATATGACAAATCATATGAGGAAAGTGAGTGGGTGTACTGTGTAGTATTAGTGGGGTTTCCTAACAGACTGAGTGTGTGGAATGTTTATGGCTGGAGAAGAGGGCACCCTGGGAAGGATGGAACCAGGGAGCTTGCAGGCTTCAGAGAAGTCTGAGTCCTGTGCTCTCATCTGTCTTACAAAGACTGTAAGTTTGTAACTGCCTGTGCCTGTTTGCCTGGGAGCCATCATGTCAGTGTTAATAGCACTGCCCTTCATTTGTGCATGCCCTGTTTGAGACACATTCCATAGTCCTCTTCCTTGTTCTGAGCATGCCTGTGAGGAATGTTTTCAAGAAGGAAACAATGTAAGTACTGACAGGCAGAGTGTAAAGGACAGTCCCCCTGCAGGGTTGAAGAGGGAAGATTCTCAGTGCGGTCAGTTCTTAATCACGGCTTGGTAGAGGAGCACTGCAAGTTTTCCTACCTCTTCCCTTTTTCATTCTGGAGACACCCCCCCCCCCCATGCTTACCCTTTTCAGTCTTCCAGATCTCTGCCCACCTGTATCTTATGTTTTTATTATTTTTTAATCAGCATCATTTTTGTTTCTCTCCCCTGTCCCCTCAGTCGTCCTTTTCTCCCTCCTGTAACCACCTCTCTGCTTTCATGTCACAGAGAGGGAAAGAGGCTTGAGTTCTGGTTCCCATGCTTTATCTTTCATGTCACAGAGAGGGAAAGAGGCTTGAGTTCTGGTTCCTACTCTTTATCTTTCATGTCACAGAGAGGGAAAGAGGCTTGGGTTCCTAGTTCCCACTCTTTATTTTCTAGTTCATGGCCCAGTGCACTCTTCAGCATATGTTATTTGTCTGTGTATGTACCATTTGTAGCTTGATCTATGTGTAGGAGGTACGGAGAGAGAGGGATACGGACTTTAGGGTACAGGAGGGAGGTTGAAAGAGTGGAACATGAGTTCATCAGAATCTTCTGCCATTGAATCATTTTGGGTCTTGAGCAGATTTCCATCACTTAGTCTGTGTAACCTTGTATTTCTTTGCTTTTGCCATGGCACTGCCAACATTCGAGACGCTTTTGATGGCGTGTGTTTGGGTAGGATTCATGTATCTTCTCAGATAGCACCATCGTTGAAGACATTTCTAAAACCTCCATTTCAAAAGGCACTGCGTTGTTGAAAGCAGTGGTGTAAGAAGTGGTTAATGTGAAGAAAAGAGCTAGGCATAAGAAGAGGGATTAAGATACAGAGAAGTGATGGGTGAAACGGTTAGAAGGTGAGCATGAGAGTACAGAGCTAATCGAATTGAGCCTCTCAGCACGCACTTTTTTATCCTCAAAATAATCATGTGACATGGTATTACCACCCTTGTGTCACCGAGAAATAAACTGGGGTCCTAGCCCTCTGTCCCTGAGAGCTCATTGCATTCAGGCTCCACTTTTTTCTAGTCTCAGCATGCACATGGTTGGCTTTCCTGCACCACCCCAGCTCTGTACTGGAGCCTCCAGGGTGCCTCCACATACATGTGCCCAGCCCTGACAGCTCTTGCCCTGCCACTTGGCTTTGTCACCTGCCGTATTCCAGGAGTGGGTTCCCAGGATGTCTCCTTACTCAGCCCTCTTTGCAGCTTCTCCTCTGCCTTGCTAGGGGGTGGGGGATGGTTACCATTGCCTTCTCCCTCTTAACAGTGTGTAAGTTAGCAGCATCTTTCTGTTCATCCACATGATTCAGTCTCACCAGCTACCTTTGACCTTGCTGAAAGCTGCCCTTAATTGCTCCTGAGCACGAGAACCAGAGTTTTTCAGGTCCTGCTGTTTTCATTTCCCAGCCCTTTGTCTGTCACATTTGTAGTCTGCTTCCTAAAATCTGAACACTAAGGTGGCTTATATAGTGTTAACCCTAACAAATTGAAAAAAGAAAATGCCCCTCATCTGTTTGCTGTACCCACCCTGGAGTGTCTGCAGTTCTGAGGCCCTCAAGGTTCCACCACTGCACATCCCGTGCAGTCTCCACTGCTCTGGCACTCTCTTTCCCACAAACCAACCACCTTGCTCCTCTCTGGCCTGCCTTTTGAAAGGATGCCAGTAAGTGGATCGGAACATAGCCAACAAGGTGTCACTGCTGCCTAGAAGAATGGTGTATGGGTGAGTCCTACAGGAAAGTAACCACCCTGTTTTTGCACTCTAGGTACCTTGTGGGGCAGCGCCTGGTGAACTATGAGCGCAAATCTGGCAAGCAAGGCCCGTCCACACCACCTCCACAGTCGTCCCAAGAATAAAGTGCTTGTCTCAGCTCCTTGACCTTCTCCTTGCCTTTCCGTGTCCTTCTTTGTGGACTCTCACTCTGGAGATTCTCAGCGCTGTTTTTAAGTTAAATGTACTTGACTTGTGTCCTCAGCGTTCAGAGGGCAGCGCATCCGGCTCTGCTGCTCCTCACTGCATCTGCCGACATCACTGCTGTCTGAGATCTGTACATGTGTAAATAGGAGTTCCTCGATGCCCTAAAACCTTGGATTAAACAGAATGTGCATTGTACATCTTTAACAAATGTATATTAATTTATTAAATCTAGTTGTCACTTTATTTTGGACCTGCTGTGATCTCGACAGGAAATGTGCCACAGAGCAGTAGTGCATAGGCAAGACTTTGAGTGACAGCTTGTGGAGCACAGTTTATGGTGTTGCCAGCCATTCTCACCAGATAACTAACTGCATCCTGTTCTTGGCTGGCCAGTCCTTACCAGGAGCCAAATGAGCAGTGGACAGAGTGCCTCACAAACAGTTGTGTTTGGAAGTTATTCCATGTAACACCAAAGCTGTTGTACATTTTCTACTGCCCGATTGTCTTCATGTGTCCGTGTTTGTAATATTGTATAGTATGTTGCGCTAGATGAGGAAATTATTTTTAATTTTGATAATTTAATATTCCTAGTGGTCAGAATCGGGAGTTGGGGTTTTCTGCTTGCTAGGGGCATGTTTATACTTAGAAAGATACACTAGCAATGAAGGCTTTCATTAGTCTCCTCCCTTTCCATACAGCTCTTCCTCCTGTCAGCAGGGGCCAAAGTGTCATGCCAGCTGTGAGAAATCTTAGGGGATAACATCAAATAATACTCATTGTGATGGGTTGGAGGCTAACGTCAGGCTGTGGTGTGGAGCTGTCAGTGTGCTGCAGCTGAGACCCAGTGACTACAGCAGGAACTTGCACAAATAAAAGTAGGTTTTATTTGTTGAAAGGAAGCAGACTGCGCTGGTCTCCTGCTATAGGAAGGAGCTGCATTGAAGGAAGTGCTGTGAGGCCTTAGAGAACTGAACACTCAAGCCTGGTTCCTGTAGCCAAAGTTTGAAGTTTAAAAAGAATAGGATGGTTGGTCCGTCATCCAAATGTTTAATGGTAAAGGTGTATTGTAAGGTTAGTATTAGAAGCGTTCCTAGACTATAAAAGAATTCCACGGAGTATTAAAACCCATAGGTAGAAAGAACTGAATTTTGCTCCCCCCCTTTAAGTACAAAAGCCAAACATAAGCTACCAAAATTAAGAGCAATGTGTTCTGCTTTTGTTTGCTTTTTTTATTCACTAAGTGATAAACAACAGTATATTTAAAACAAAAACAGTGCTTGCCATGGGATCCAGTGTTATTAACACTGTTTGTCACTTTGTAACAGTTCTTTCTCTTGTGTGTAGTGTACAGGCATCCTTCTAGCAAACCCACCTTTACTTACAGACTTAGACCTGTTATAAAGAATTAGCGTTTTAAAATGTGGCGCTACCTGCCATGGATACGTCTGTGAAAAACCTAATCTTTTGGGGAGAAAGATGTCAGTGAATTGGTCATATACCATTATTTATATTTCATTTTTTGAAGACTTTATGGGCCCACTACAAAGTTATTAACCTCCGAAATTCTAAACAAACCTTGTTTTGTTGAAAAAACAATACAGGTTACCAAAATTTGCCCCTATTTTATTGGCAGGAAGCTCTGTGCTCTCTTACTGCAGGGTTTTCAGTTGTGTTTTGTCCTGTGGCTCTCAGTTAGATACATCCTCATAAGATTTTATTGTACATAACAGTTGCTAGGGTGGCATACAGGGTTTATTCACCAATACCCTAAACAATTAAAGCCCTCAGTTCAGGAACTGCGTTTGTGTTTGCTTCCCGTTCTTACAGTGGTTTTAAAGAGCTCTGCATCATTTTGAATTGGACTAACCCAGTCTTCAAGGAAGCTCACTAGGACAGACCTTTGTGCTTTATGACTTGTAATTGGAAGACAAATCACCATTTGGGATTAGTTTTATATGACCAGTTATCAGACAGACAGTTTGAAATGTGTAGTAGTTCATTACTAACAAATTACGGATTGATTTTTAAACTACAAAGTACTAATAGTTGAGATGAAAACTGAAGAAAATGCCAATGTAAAATTCGTGTATGGCTAGCCTTAAAGTTATGTGTTTATAGTTGTGGTCCCCTCACCCTCCAAGCCCATGCCCTCGGGGAAAGAAGGAGGTAGGACATCTCTATTCCAAATGTGAACAAGTGATTTTTACTTCAATATTTGGTTTAATTATTATTCCCCTGAAATCTTAGATTGTCTCCTCACACAAGTAGCAGAGTAACTCCTCTGATGAATTTACCTACTAGGTGTTTCACAGTTGCCCCATTAAAGTATATTCTTAAGTTTAGGTTGAACTGATGAATTTTTAAGACAAACACTAAAGATTCATTTGGACATTTCTACACTGTTGTGTCTGCAGACACAGGACCTGGTGCCCTTATGCAAGAACTCTGGCACTTGTCACGGTGCTACTAAGTAGCTCCTTCCTTTCCTCTCCCGGATGGGGACTTTCCAGCTAGTTACTTCGATGCCTCGATTTTACATGTGATGACGCTCAAAGTTCTTGTTTAAAACAATCCTAGCATCCTAACTGTTCAGTCATTATCTAGGGAAAAGATGAACGCAGAGTACCACTGAAGTGTTACTGAAGACCTCATTTATGAAGGGTTTCTAAGCTCTTTGCTTAAGCTGCCCTGTGTACCCAAACACTTAGTTTGCCCTGTCAGTCAGATGTTTGTTTTCAGCGTATCGCTGCTGTGTCAAATCTTTAAACAGCTGTCATGAGTAAGGGCTTCTTTCAAATACTCTCCAACAATAGCTCTGGCATTAGTATAAAGGTAGACAGTGTACATGGATATGTGTGTTTCCATTCCTGTCTGTTTGTATGAGTGCCTCATTTTGTAATCACGACAGTCCTGTTGTACCTTAGGTGGAGATGAACGACTAAAGTCTGGGAGTGTCTGCTGTAGGAGTGAAATAGAACACTTTGTGATGTGGACATCAGTTTTCTATTGCCGTAAACACCTATACAGATCAATTTTATGTATATATATTCAAAAATGCTCCCTTTTTTATGTGGTCATTTGTTGCCTTCTGAGTTAAGAGAACAGAATTGAATAAAGTGAATGTTAGTTGTAGCCTCTTTTTATTTTTGGCTACCTGTTTTTTTACTTTGACGTAAGATTGCCCTTAATTTACAAAGGTATGATGAGGCTAGGTACCGTGGGATATATGTGTAACCTAGCTATGGCTTGCCTGGGCAACAAGAAGGCCCACCTCAAAACGAATGAATACAATTCAGAAATATCTAGATGTTTATGATTATAAGAGAAACAGCTAAGATTCTATAGTCCTCTGTCTTCTTACTTTGGGTGGCAAGTGTAGCTTCGGAGGACACTTCTGTCCCTGCTCCTGCACTTGAGTGGAGAATATTCTACTGAATCAGTGAAGCCTCTCAACTTGTGCCACAGGCTGAAGCTGCCCACTTTCTACATATTCACGTCATGGGCCTTCTCTTTGGGATTGAGACTGATAAGGGCATGTCAGAAACCATTTTATGTCATTGCCTGTATACCAGAGAAGGAAAGGGTTACTTGAGCTCTGGCTGTCCTAGAACTGGATCTATAGCCCAGGCTGGATCACAGAGTTCCCCCTGCCTCTGCCTCTCTAGTGTTGGAGTAAAGGCGTGCACCACCACTACCGGGCTAATTTTTCTAAGTTTATTTTTTTTTCTCAAAAATGTTGAATATACATTTTTCTTATTTCCACTCATTTAAATACATTGTTACTTAATGTGGGAGTGGTGAGAAAATGCTCTTTGAGTCACAGATGTCTTTTAATCTGTGAAGTTACATCTTCATCAAAGCAAATTGATACTCAAACAATTGGCCGTTAATTCTCCTTATCCACTCATTACAAAGAGAGTGATTAGGAGACTCAGTGTGTCAAGGGACTGACAAATTAGTCTCTACCCGAAGATGTCTGCCTTTAAGGACCACAGTGAACAGTGACCAGAAGATGGGAGGGGTAAGTCAGACGCCTGGGCCAGCACACAGGGCTCTCAGGGAGACTGCTGGCACCTAACTGCTTCATTGGAGGATCACACATACACACCTGGTTCCTCATCACTATGCTGCTCCCCGCTGCTACTTGGCACTCACCTTTAAAACTAAAGGTAAACCATCTCTCTTCATCAGTTTACATTGTTTATCCATTTATGAACTTTTCCCCTTTGTCCAAGTTTCTGCTTGCCATTTATTGGTTATTTGGGACACTCTTGGAGGAGGAGCTGCTTCCTCAGGAGCCACACACTTGTCCTTTGCTTAGGAGGCCAGTTCCTTGCAGCTGTCTGTGGGTCTGCTAAAGCAGACACTCCCATATGTGGACAGTGGTTTCTTCACAAGGGTGCAGATGTTGAAAAACTGAAGACCTGGATGGTTGTTGCAGACTAAAAAGCTAATTAATACCACAGATAAGTACTAATTAGAGGCAAAACGAATTAGCCCTAACTTAAAGCCTTATGGAGGCAAACCTTTTTTTGAAGCTCAGTAGTGGGTTAGGCACACATTTTTTAAGATTCAGTTTATTTAAGGAGAGAAAAAGTCAAAATTTAAATCTCCGAGAGACTTCTCTAAGAATAAAAAGGACAAGCTCGGCAGTGGTGGTGCACACCTTTAATCCCAGCACTTGGGAGGCAGAGGCAGGAGGATCTTTGTGAGTTCAAGGCCAGTCTGGTCTACAGAGTGAGTTCCGGGAAAGCCAGGGCTACACAAGAGAATCCCTGTCTCAAAAAAACTCAAAATTTAAAAATAAAGAGCAAGCGTCTCGGCACTCGGATTGTTCTATGGTATTTCTCGCTTTACGGGGGTCATGTGGTGGCAGTGTGGGGCAGGGTCAGAATTGGTTACTTAGTGAAATTAAGTGTTGTCCAGGCTGGTCTCCCAACTCTGGTCCAAAGAACGGCAGCCTTGCTCCACTGAAACGACGCTGTGTGCCAGTCAGTCCCCGTCATCCAGCTTTAAGGAGGTCGATTTTACCTACATCATGTTGCATCCTTTGAATAGAGATTAGGTGTTAGTAAAAGTGACCCTCCTTAACTAGATAAGGGACAGTATTTACTCTTTATACCCACGTTTAAGCTTTTCCGTAGAATAAATAATTTAGATTAGCCATATTAGTAACATAGCTAAGGCATCAGAAAATTCTGTGGTCCCCAGATAGGTGAGCACTTGGGTCCACAGTGTCTGAGAACCATTTTGTCAAAGCTGCTTTGGTTTGGAAACGTGCATGCCTATGGGGGCGGCCGGGGTGTGGATTCAATGGAGCCTAGTCCACAGCTAGAGGCGCAAGGCCAAGGCCCTGTTCTCATCAGAAGACAGCTGGGGACCTCTTGGAGGTCCAGACTGGAAAACAAGCCCATATCCAGCCCTTTCCCCTGGGCCGGGTAAGTCACTGGTCACGCGATCAGGGCCCGGGTCGCCCTTAGCTCGCCGAGGCTGTTCGCGCCTGCGCAGCTCGGGTTGCCTTGGATACCGCACGCCACAATCGCGCGCACGCTCTGGAGCTGAGGGCGGTTGGGCCTCAGTTCCCCAGGAGCGGGCAAAGGAGCCGGCAAGAAGCGCCCCCCCGCCGCTGCGCTGACCCCCGCTGACCCCTGTCTCCCCTCCCCGCAGCTCACCGGATCGGATCGTCGCGGGCCGCCGCGCTCTGCCCTGAGCCATGCCGCTGCCCGACACAATGTTCTGCGCGCAGCAGATTCACATCCCCCCGGAGCTGCCCGACATCCTGAAGCAGTTCACCAAGGCTGCCATCCGCACGCAGCCGGTGGACGTGCTGCAGTGGTCGGCGGGGTAAGCGCGCGCAGGCCGGGAGCCTCACCCGGTTCAGACGCCTGAGCTGTGGTTGTAGACTAAAGCTTACAGGACAACCGTGGGAAAATAAATAAATAAGTGACCCCACTGAGTTAAAAAAAAAAAAAAAAGAAAAAAAAATCAGTCACAGGGACGCTTATAAATGTAGCCGCCTAGAACAATGAGCTCGCGCCTCCTCCTCCTTGGGTTCAAGGATGCAAAGGCTGTCATCCAGGAAAACTGGAGAGCTCGGCTCACAGCCTGAAAACCTTCACACATGAACATGGAAAAACATGAACCCTCTCCCGGACCATACCATTATAATCTTAGCCACTCGTCCTTTTGGTTTTACAAGAGAGCTCTTTGCCACTTTTTTGTTGTTTTTGTTTTTGTTTTTTTTTTTTTTTCGAGACAGGGTTTCTCTGTATAGCTTTGGAGCCTCTCCTGGCACTCGCTCTGGAGACCAGGCTGGCCTCGAACTCACAGAGATCCGCCTGCCTCTGCCTCCAAGTGCTGGGATTAAAGGTGTGTGCCACCAACGCCCGGCTCTTTGCCACTTTTTAAACCACGAGAATGAAGTATCTTTAGCCAAATGTCACTTTCTCTGAACTATATAGCTAAAGCGGCTTCGTTTCTTTTCTGTTTTAACGATTTGACTTGCTTTAAAACAGACATTTATCTTTACAGTTCTGGAGGTGAGATGCCCCAAATCAGTTGACGCTGGCAACAGGCCATTGGGATGGCTTTGGGGAGACCAGCTGCTTATCAGTGCTGCGTTCTAATGGCCCTTCTACATCTACGGGTTCTCCCTCTCCTGAGGGATCCCTGTGATACTTTTGGGAGCCATCCAGTTTGTTCAGGATAATTTCCCCATCTAAAGACCTTAATTGTGCGAAGGCACTTGCCATGTAGAGTACCGTGTGCAGTTTCCAGGGAACAGGGTCTGGACATACTCCATCAGGTTCACCACCCTTTATCTGTTCTCTAAACTTCCCCTATGCAATATTATGGTCCCTGGCTTTAAGCATGGTGGGAGCCTTAGGAAGACTAGGGTTTTTGTTTGTTTGTTTGTTTGTTTGTTTTTTAATAAAAGTTTATGTATAGCAGTCCAAGCCTCTGCCCCCACCCTGGCCCATTTGATAACACTTGCTGACATGAAGGGCTTGCTCAAGGACTTCAGGTTCCTTTGATTGGTGGTGAAGAACAACTATAACCTTTAGCCTTTAGCCATTTAGGGCCAGAGTTCTGCATTTCTCTCATTTCTGCCCTCAGCCCTCCTCAGAGGAGCACAAGTCTTAATGTGTAGGCGGAGTTGACCCTAAGGGGTGAGGGGAGAGGGGAGAGGGGAGAGGGTTTCTTTTGGTCTACTGTCTCCACTGTCCACATCCACCCATGTTACAGGTTTAGAATGTTTGTGGTGACATACCTGTTGCCCTGCTGCTTAATTTCATGTGCTGCCCCCCCCCCCAACACAAGTTCTTTGGTTTGGTTCACAACTGTAGCCCCAGATGCTGCCTGACACACAACTGCTGCTCTTCTGGCCAAACCTGATGTGAGTCCACTCTTGAATTGTTGCCTCGAGGAGCCATTTCTATGTTTGCCTTTAACCTAAGAATTTTCAGTGTCCTTGAAAGGAACAATTAAGGGGGAAGTACCTGGCCAGATTGGGGGAGAGGAGGGGGAATGGAAAATGGAAAGTAGGTGATCTCTGTATGCCTCGGTGTTTAGTGTCAAATACCTTAGAAAGCAGCTGTCAAAACATGAGTCGCCTTAGGTGTGGGGGCCCCAGAGAGATGAATAAACAACATTGAGTATTTGCTTGCTTTTCCAAAGGACCTGAGTTAAACTTCTAGTGCCCATGTCACACAGCTCAAATGGTGTGTAGCTCCAGCTCCAGGCCATCTGGCACCCGTGGACTCCAAGGACATCTGCACTCACATGCACCTGCCCGAATGTAGACACTATGTGTATATATGCATTTAACATAAATTAATATACTATTTTTTTTATAAAGTGATGTAGCACAACATTGGATTCTGGTCCCTTTGTCCACATTTTCAAAGCTCTTGGAGGAAGGGGACAGAGGCCAACAATGAGATGAGTACAGTTCAGTGAGGTCCTCCTGGCTCCCACCAGAGTTCCCTGTCACTTGGAGTTTCCGGGAGACTCAGCTATCAGTCATCATGTCTGCTGTGCAGCTAGAGAAACCAGAATGTCCAATAAAGGTCCAGGGGGTCGCTCAGCAGAGGTGCCAGGGCTTCGCTGTTTGCAGCCGGCCCTGGGTGCCCCTGCCACATTTGCTGGGGTGTCAGCCTACATGCCTTGGGAGCTGCATGTGTGTTGACACTCTTCAGTGATGTCTCTCGTTGCAGGTATTTTTCAGCCCTGTCCAGAGGAGACCCACTTCCTGTAAAGGACAGGATTGAAATGCCCGTGGCCACGCAGAAGACTGACACAGGCCTGACCCAGGGACTCCTCAAAGTCCTGCACAAGCAGGTGGGTGAACCTCTTAACTGCCTGTGCTTCTGTTACCATGCTGTGCCCTTGAAGCATTGGGACAGTTGCCCTGTCCCCAGGCCTGCCCTGCCACATTTAGAGATGACTTTCTTGGAAGGAATCCCAATAGCTAGCTTTTCTTGTATTTTGTGTATGGATATGTTTGTGTGTAGGCAGGGTGTGTGTGTGTGTGTGTGTGTGTGTGTGTGTGTGTGTGTCTGTCTGTGTGTCTGTGTGTGTGTGTCTGTGTGCGCACGCTTGTGTATACCAGAGACCAACAAATACGTTTCATGTTTTAGTTTTTTTTATATATATATAATGTACATTGGGGTTTTGCTTGCATGTATGTCTGTCTGAGGATGCCACATCCCCTGAAACTGGAGTTACAGACAGTTATGAACTACCATCTGGGTGCTGGGAATTGTGAACCCGGGTCCTTTGGAAGAACAGTCAGAATGGCCAGTACTCTTAATGAATGAGCCATCTCTCCAGTTCCCACACTTTAGTTTTTTGAGACAGGACTTGCAATATAGTCCAGGGTATCCACAAACTTGAGGTAACCCTCCTACCTCAGTTTCCTGAGTGCTAGGATTACAGATGAACATAGGTCTCCAGTTTTGAAGTTAGTCTTGCACTGGGAAATATTCCGGACAGTAGGAAACATGTGCTCCATGTCTGGATGTTCACTTCAGGAGGCCAGGGTAGAACATATTTTTTTCATTGTCTCTCGCCTCTTCTCTCCTACCCTCTCTTCCTCTTAATTCCCTCCTCCTTCCGTGTGTGTGTGTGTGTTTGCTGGAAGTAACTTACATATCTTCCTGTATTATTCTCCACCTTATTTTTTGAGACAGGGTCTCTCACTAAACCCAGAGCACAATGTTTCAGGCTAGCAAAGTCTGAAGCTTTTAGGTGGGCATTTGAGTAACAAGCACTTTCCCCACTGAGCCTTCCCTCCAGTCTTTTCTCTCTCTAAATGTTGCTAATATCCATTTAGCTGCCCCTCCCTGCCTCTGTACCCCTCCCAGCTTTCATCACCGGGTGGATTCAATCTGCCATCATACAAACCGTATATCCCATGCACATGATGTAAGTCTTAAGATGTTGAAGCATCATTTTAGTTTTACATGCCTTTTCTACTTACACAGAGTGTGTCATATTATGTTTTCTAAACAGTGTAGCCACAAACAATACGTGGAATTAAAAGATCTTGAGAAGAAGTGGAAAAATTTGTGCCTGCCGATAGAAAAGTTCAGAGCTATCCTGGAACTGGATCCATGTGATGAAAAAATTGAGTGGATAAAATTTTTAGCACTTGGATGTAGCTCCCTGGGTGGGGTATGTACCTATAAATAACATCTTAATATAATTATTATCTCATAATCTGTATAACTATATTCCTGGCTTAAAAAATAATTAGGGTTAAAAATAATTTGGGTTTAAATAGCTACAGAAAACACTTTGACTACTTTAAACTTTCTCTTGGGAAAAAATGTATTTTCTTCCGGAGACAAGGTTTTCCAGACTCCAGTTATGCGATGTAACCTCAACTGCAAGGCCGGTAAGAGCAGGGCAGACACATGGCTACTCTTGGAATATATTCAGGTTTCCAAAGGGGACATACCAATGAGTTATTTTAATGGACAGTGTAATTTTGAAAGCTGGTATGAGTTTTCTTCCTCTGTGGGAAGAGACATAAAATCCCATTGCATTTGACTTACTATCCAATATTAATATCTAGTAAATAGATGCAGTGTAACTCTGCTGCCATTACACTGTAACTCCAACCATTTAGGAATAAGACAGCAGAGTGATTGATTGGATGGTCCTCAGTTGAGGACCAAGGGCATTTGTGAGCATGGAGACTGGGCATGAGGGTGGGCGGGGACTGGAGTGGGTAGGTGTGGTTGGAGCTTCCTTAGGAGGCCAGAGTGTGATGAGCCTGAGCCTAAGTGAGGCCAGGTGAGTGGATATGCTGCAGCTGGGACTCCAGTAGGAAGCCCTATCCCTTGAGAGAACGCAGGTGTCAGGCTGGTGGCCGCACGCCCAGCAGTGGGCAGGTATATCCTTTCTGGTCAACCCTTGGGCTCTTTGTGCTGAAACCTGGACACTGACAAAGCAAGTGTCCTCACAGGAGCTGTGCTGCCCAGTGGCATATTCCCTGGAAAGACAAAGTCAAATGTGATTAGTTAGTTATTAGAGAAACTGTGTCCCTGTGCTCATCGGGAACTCTGAAATTAACATTTTCATAGCATAGAATTGATACCTAACATTTGGGGTTAATGTTGATGGCTTATGCCTCTAAAATAGGCATGAAAATTTGATATTAGCAATGAGAAAGAACAGGATAATTCATGATTTATGAATTACTCTGTGCCACCTCTCGTCATAAAAACAATCTGAGATGTATACATTGATTGACACTAGGTGGCGGTATTTTGTAAGGAATGGAGCGCTTCATCTTCGACCGTGACTCCGTCAAAACCACCGAGTTCTGTTTTCTTTTGTGCTATATTATCCTTAGGAGATAAATTTATATATATCAAAAAGCAAACTGGAGCTGGGCAGTGGTGGCCTACACCTTTAGTCCCAGCACTTGGGAGGCAGAGGCAGGAAGATCTCTGTGAGCTTGAGGCCAGCCTGGTCTCCACAGCGAGTGCCAGGATAGGCTTCAAAGCTACACAGAGAAACCCTGTCTCGAAAAACAAAAACAAAGAAAAAAGCAGCTGGTCACAGAGGGTTCCTTCCTGTCCCCTAACCTAGGTCATTTTTGGGTACTGACCTCGCTGCTTGCCTTTGTCTCTTGGGGGCCAGATACCACAGAGGATCTCGAGTCTAACCTGGGTCAAGTACAGCTGGGAGTAGCAAGCCTTTCCTTTTATGGTCCCTGTGAAGGGGTCTGCTCAGTCCTGCTTCACCCCACAGTGTGTGGAGAGTGAGCTCTCTCTAAGCATGGGCCGTGTTTCCAGAGACACTGATAGCTCCACAGCTGCCCGTGCAGGCCCCATACAAGAAATGAGTGGTGGCATACCGCCTGCTCACGGGTATCCCTTCAACTGCTGCAGAACTGGCACCGAGACCCTTTTAAGTTTGGGGTTTGCTGGCTTCTACCGGGCATATACTCTATGCCCGTGATCGTCTCCTAGGAGAGTTATAGTCCAACTCACCGAGGCTCTCTGAAGGAACAGAGACCTGAAGCCTTCTGTGCGAGTGAGGTGGAAAACTGAGCAGCAGGGCATTAATAGATGCACAGGGCCCTCTGCCCTGCTGGTCACACCCTCTTCAGGACAGCTCTGGTTGGCACTTGTTCTCTGTGCCCCTTGGCTTGGTGCACAGTATGTTTCTGGATCTGGTGGAGCTGTGGTGACTAAAGTTCATGGTTAAATGATGCTAGACTCCAAACCCAGAACCACATGGAGGAAGTTCATGGTTAAAAATGATGTGCTTATTGTCTCAGGGTTTCTATTGCTGTGAGGAAACACCATGACGAAAGAGCAAGTTGGGGAGGAAAGGGTTTGTTTGGCTTACACTTCAGCATTGGCGTTCATTATTGATAGAAGTCTGGACAAGGACACAAACAGGGCAGGAACATGGAGGCAGGAGCTGATGCAGAGGCCATGGAG